CGCATTCCAGCAGGCCGCATCCCTCGCTCCAAGGAGTGTATACTGTTAGCAGATCTTTGTGATAGATGTAAACCTGGAGATGAGGTGGACCTGACTGGAATCTACACAAATAACTATGATGGTTCATTAAATACAGAGCAGGTAAGGTTAAGCAATAATCACATTTAAAAATATTTATAATTCACATACCGAACTGTATTGGAGTAGTATAATTTTATTTGCAGCTTCTATCAGATAATGAGTAGAAAAGTTGTCCTTACGTCATTTAGAACAGAGTAGATCTTTGAAAGATAGATAGGTAGAATAGGTTCTTTCTACTCTGTAGACTCCTACACTCCTCTTTAAGTGATAAGGATTAGCATTTCTAAAAGATCAACAGTCATACATATTGTGACGCTTGACTTGCATGGATTTATGGCAGTAGTCACTTACCAGACCGATCTGATGGTTTGCTCTCTTATGCTATTAAAAAACTACAAAAAATTTGATGAGTTTTTTTTCCTTCAGGGATTCCCTGTGTTTGCTACAGTAATCATCGCGAACTACATAGTCGTAAAAGATTGCAAGCATATTGTTGAGTCGTTAACAGACGAAGACATAGCATCTATAGTGAAGCTGTCAAAGGACCCCAGGATCGCAGAGAGGATCGTACAGAGTATAGCTCCCTCTATATATGGATATGATTATATTAAGAGAGGCTTGGCTTTAGCTTTGTTCGGAGGAGAGTCTAAAAATCCAGGTAAGTCAAATATACCCTTTTGATTATTTTATTACCCTTTTATTTGCTTATATAGAAATTAGTTGTAAAATAGCATAATAGTAAAATCGTTACAGAATGTTTGATGTGTGTGGGTACACACATTCAACCATTCTGTATGTGTGATAATGTGTATAATCTGGTGAATTGTAAAAAAAATATGTGTTTAATACATCAGTATTTCTTATATCGACTAAGATGCAACACTACTGCACAAATGTAAATCATCTATAGTTGCAAAAAAGTAAAGTACTTCAAAAAGTTTAAAATTTTAAATAGGAATTGTTTACAGACTTAATTTTATTTTGGCCTTTCAGGGGAAAAACACAAAGTTCGTGGTGACATCAATGTACTCATTTGCGGTGACCCTGGAACAGCCAAGTCACAGTTCCTCAAATACACTGAGAAGGTATACAATATAATTACAAATAATACCTACAAAGGATAATAATGTAAGGATAATTGTTTTAAACTTCCACTAATTCGTAATAAGTAGATATGTTCGTGGTCTACTCCTAACTAAGATTATATGCATATAATATTCACACACAAACACACACACACACACACACACACACACACACACACACACACACACTAGTGCAAGTTACACTACCTACACTTTACACACGACACAAATACACGCCCCATAATGTCTGCTTGATTGTAAATAAGTAAATCAGTTTCTTGTCTATTTTTTTATTTTTACTTTTCGGTTTGATTGTAAGTAATAGTAGAGTTAGCTTGCTCTGTTTTGTAAGTAAACCACTTTCTTTTGTATTGATTGATTTTGTTGACGTAACTATATATAACATGTAACAAGGTGAAGTCACTGGGTCCTATAATACAGTTCTTACTAGTTTAGGCGCCAGCGTATTTATACTATTTGTAACACTTTTATGTCAATAAATATTTCATTTTATTTCATTTCAATATGTTTACACTGCCATCTATGAAACCTACAATTGCCAAATCCTAATTATGAAAAACAATACAACTTGGTGAGCTCGTTGTTAACTGTTGTTAACTAAGAGAACAGTCTAAATATTCATATATAGTTTTTTAATAGTTCATTTGTATATTCACAGATCGCACCCCGCGCAATCTTCACAACAGGTCAAGGCGCGAGTGCTGTCGGTCTCACAGCCTATGTACGAAAGAATCCCACAACCAGGTAAACAAATTCCCGCCAAATGAGATATTACTCTGGATCTGGATCTTAAGTATAGTTTCTTGAAACTAACATCACACACACAACAACTATCAAACATTATCTGCCAAAACCAAGCAAAACAATGAACTATGTTGTATTTTTAACGTGAATTTATTTTAGTGTATTTGTCCATTATGCTTTCAAATGTTGAATTGGTCATTATAATGGCATACTCGAAGAACTTTCACTTAAGAAAACATTATAATCTGATATACCATTTATTGAAAGACCAATCAACATTTCCGTCATTCATTAACAGAGATTGGACCCTGGAAGCCGGCGCGTTGGTCCTCGCTGACCGAGGTGTGTGTCTCATCGACGAGTTCGACAAGATGAACGACCAAGACCGGACATCCATCCACGAGGCCATGGAACAGCAGTCTATATCTATATCTAAAGCTGGTATTGTCACTTCACTACACGCGAGGTAAGTCCTCCACTACTGCGCGCTTTTCAAAACACTTTTTTCCTCGCACAACCAATCTGTGGAACAAGTTGTCGTCTGCAGTATTTCCGGGACGATATTCTCAAGACAGGAGTACTTTAAAGGCCGGCCACGCTGTTGTGACTTCTGAGTTGCAGGCGTTCATGGGCGGCGGTAGTCACTTTCCATCAGGTGAACCGTCTGCTCGTTTGCCCCCTTATACTATAAAAACAAAATTAGAATTAGAAAGAAATAAGAATAAGAATCTTTAATGAAACAATAAACAAAAAATACATTACTGAAATATTAGACATGCTTAGAGATCCAAATTCGACTGGCATTCATTAAACAAATTAAAAATGAAAGCTCAAGCCATTACTATAAATGCGTAAGTTTCTTTTTATGCTTTCACACCTTAATTACTCAATCGATCTACAGAAAGTTAGAGTACCTTTCATCAAAGAAAAATAACTATATAAACAAAATGTAAAACATAAGGTTGTCAAATCAAACAGAAAAGTTGATGACAACATAAAAGTAAAAACTTGTAACTATTATTATGTCTTTTCTGCCCTGTGACATCTTATAATTGTTTGTATTCAACTAATAATTTTTTTTGTTGACCTAATAATTTTTTTTCATATTTTTTTTACTTTGCTTGACATAAATATTTTGATTTTATTTAATGTTTTTGCATGCCACTATTCTGGTAAAAAATATTTATATCTTCTACTACCCATTGTAACACCATTTGTCACAATATTTTTGCAAATAAATATGATTCTGATTTACTAACAAAAATAACTTTATACGCCAAATATTTCCTGCAGATGTTCAATAATCGCTGCAGCTAATCCCATCGGCGGTCGGTACGACGCTTCGCTCACGTTCACCGAGAACGTGAATCTGTCGGAGCCCATACTGTCTCGGTTCGATGTTCTCTGCGTGGTGAGGGACGAGGCGGACCCTATGCAGGATGCACATTTGGCCAAGTAACAACATTTTGATGACAATATCTTGGAGAATGTTGATATAGAAACCTGACTTAGCAAATCTTGTACTATGAGTAACAAACCCAGATAATATATAGAAACCTTTTTCAGTAAAGACATATGTGTCAACAAACACCCAGACCAAAATGCAAATAGACTGTTTATCTATTCAAATAATTAAATATATTTAACAAAGCTAATTAAAACTATGTTTTTAGTTAAACGAGCTCATCTCTTACTTACATTCACGCCCAATTCGAAAATTGGCTCTCCACTTATCTATTGTGCCTTCTCTAGATAGAAACTTTTCGCATAATCAATCTTGTGAAACGCATTTCCGCTCGCAGTGTTTCCACATACTTGTGACTTTAATTTTATGTGAAATAGTTTTATTTTATAAAATCGAGAATATGCAAAAGTGAACTCCTTAAATACTACACACACATACACACCCATATGTACTCGAAGTAAATTGAGCTGAAGTTTTGTTAAGTACAATTTCTACTAAATTTGTAACTTAAGTACCTATATTTGTTATTTTTATCTAAATCTAAGCAAACCCGAGTGGAAGATGCTAGTCACACAAGTATCGAAAGATTACTAATGAATGAAATGAATACTATAAGGGAAGGCTTGGCCATAGACTGTAACAGGGATTTAGAAATAAATGATATTTTGCTTTTTTTTTATAAAAACCGTTTGTTGAATAGGTTTGTGGTAAGCTCACACATTCGCCACCACCCCACACAGCGCGGGGCCACGTTAGAAGACATCAATGCTCCCGATCCTGAGTTCGGTCTACCACAAGATCTGCTCAAGAAATACATCGTATATTCGAGAGAAAATGTTCATCCGAAACTACAGGTGTGTATAAATAAGTTATAAATAGTTTTAGATTTTTCTCCACCTGTAATAAATTCTAGACATGATTGAAAATCGTTCCTGGAAGCCTGTGAACGTCCCAGGAGGCTTCTGCGCTTCTAGAAAGAGCTTGGTCGGCTCACCTAGTCAACCTTGCCTCGACTCATAAAGGATCATTCTCGAGTCTAAATGCGGAAATCGAAACCCACAACCAATACAAAATTCTATACATGAATACAAAAAAATAATTAGTTTTGTAAACACACATTCAGGAGTTCGCAACCTTTACCATAAAATATATATACATATAGATATATATATATAGATATATATATAGATATATATATAGATTTAAAAAAAGTAGTCTTATATCTATTAAATGCACAAGGTTAAAATCAAGAGAAACCAATATAAAATGACTACAGTTCCTAAAATAAAATATCATCATCATCAGCCTATCCCAGTCCTGCCGGACATAGGCCTCTCTCATTGCACGCATCCAGCTCCTGCCAGCCATCTTGCGCAAATCGTCACTCCACCTGGCCTGTGGGCGTCCTACACTAAGTTTACAAAATAAAACACGAATTTCAATATATTTATGGCCTTTCTGTACATTTGTTATTCCTGTTAATAATAATTTACATTATTATTTAGTACACTGTACTGTCTGACAACAATTGCATTTTTAAACTCTCTGACAGGGTGTAAATCAGCCAAAACGGTGTCAATGGGTGGCGTTAGTCGCTTATCATCAGGTGACCCGCCTGCTCCTTTAGGCCCTCAACACCATAATATTTTTATTTTATTTTTAATATTTATTTTACAGAACATGGATCAAGATAAGGTCGCAAAAATGTACAGCCAGCTGCGACAAGAATCACTCGCTACAGGAAGCTTGCCTATAACTGTTAGACATATTGAATCTGGTAAGCACTTTGTCATCTTTTTTTTTAATTTTTCAGGTATGTTTAGAGTAATTTCCCACACATATAGTCAAATGTTATGATTGTACTATGTGTATAGTACGAAACAATACAAAATAATAATTACCAGAAACCATACAAACATGTTGACAGAAGGCGTCAAGTGTAAATTAGATGCCACGAATATTCGGCAACTATTCGGTCATTTTTTCCACTATTCGGTATTCGGCCGAACACCGTACAGTAAATTACGAAAAAAATAATGCATAATATTACTCACAAAGATATTTATTTTACCAATAACTTATCATATGAATACTTAAAACAATTTTTTCAGCATTTGTTGATAGGAAACGATCGCGCTTTTCCTCATAAATTATACCTGCTTTAGAAAATAGCCGATTACTGTACTGTATATACTGTTAGGATATTCTTTTGCGTTTGCTGACCATTTTACTGATTCAGGTTTGGCGCTTTGGCCATGCGACTCGCCGAATATTCGTTATTCGGCCAAATCAATATTCGTGGCATCTCTAGTGTAAGTTGACGTTACGTCGACGACGTCCTACCGATAGCGTTGCGTTTTGGAAATTCATGAGAGCATTTTTGATGACTAAATTAAATTAGATATATTAAATTATTAATATTATCATAATTCACACATCACACATCAACAGCCTTTACTAGTCCACTGCTGGACATAGGCCTCTCCTTAGGAAGGAGGTTTTGGCCTACTGTACCACGCTGGCCAGACGGGTTGGTATAGGGTTTGTTTCAAGTTTTCCTTCGCTGTGCAGTGCTGTTGTCCTGCGTAGTTTGCTCCCTTAGTCGCCTCTTACGACACCCACGGGATGAGTAGCTGTGGTGACAATCTGTATTCTTAATCCGTCACCACACGTTATCATAATTAAACTATTAAATTATGATAAATTTCAAAAATATAATTCTATAGGTATGTTTTTTTAGCATTAAAGTTCACAAATAAAAACATTTTTACCATTTTAGAGTCACGAGCATATTCCCTATTGTTATTGCCATACAATAAAAATAAATTGAATTTTATTACTACTTGTTTGTAGACTAGTAATGCAAGCAAACAGTATATAAAATTTATTGTATGCTCAGTGCGTTTGCAATCAAGTTTGATGGCACAGAGTTGTTTGGTGCGTATTGTACATATATGTCAAGCAATAGAAATAAATTATGGTAACATAAATAAAATATGTATCAATTAGTTGTCTCAGAAATGAGTTAGTCTTGATGAAGTTAAAGGTTTAAAGGTTTTAAATATTACGTGTTTGAGTTTGTGTGACACTATGATCGTACTCTAAGGTCACAGTCAATAATAATGTATAACGTGGTGTGTGGCAGTGATCCGCATGAGCGAGGCGCACGCGCGCATGCACCTGCGCGCGCAGGTCGCCGAGGAGGACGTCAACGTGGCCATCCGCACCATGCTCGAGAGCTTCGTCGACACGCAGAAGTACTCCGTCATGCGCGCCATGAGACAGGTGGGTGGAACATACTGATAGACATGCAGCTACAACGTGGCCATCCGCACCATGCTCGAGAGCTTCGTCGACACGCAGAAGTACTCCGTCATGCGCGCCATGAGACAGGTGGGTGGAACATACTGATAGACATGCAGCTACAACGTGGCCATCCGCACCATGCTCGAGAGCTTCGTCGACACGCAGAAGTACTCCGTCATGCGCGCCATGAGACAGGTGGGTGGAACATACTGATAGACATGCAGCTACAACGTGGCCATCCGCACCATGCTCGAGAGCTTCGTCGACACGCAGAAGTACTCCGTCATGCGCGCCATGAGACAGGTGGGTGGAACATACTGATAGACATGCAGCTACAAGTACGCGGCGGTCTCCCCTTATCCTGCCTGATTCACAGGCCGGTCGTTACCTTACGCTTTAGACTATGGAACTAGTTCCTCACCTAGATTTATTTGAAACTTAACCTGCTCAGAAATGTACAATACTAGCCAGTTTATTTACTGGTAATTAAGTATTCAGAGTAATTACTTTTTAAAGAAGAAATGAAACAATACAACCAAAACACCTTTAAAAGAGATAAGAGAAAATATCTAGTTCTTGCACTAGATGAAAAAAAACTATTGTGACGGAGCAAAAGTCGCTGTTTTGCATAAATGATTTTTCGAAATAAATCTGTGCATGCCAGGTGTTTATTATTAAAACTCAATATGTTCTATATATAAATCATATTATATACTTATTTCACAGACATTCCAAAAATACCTATCATACAAGAAAGACCACAGCGAACTGCTCTATTACATTCTGCGCCAGCTGACGATGGACCAGCTCGCCTACATGCGCGGCTTGCACAACCACTCACAGTCTACCATCGAAATATCTGAAAGGGACCTAACGGAGAGAGCGAGGCAGATCAACATTAACGACCTGAAACCGTTCTACGAGAGCCGGATATTTAAAATGAACAGCTTCAGTTACGATGCGAAGAGAAAAGTGATTATACACGAACTACCAGAAACGCCGACGGCGACTGCTTAAGTTTTTGTGAATTACTGTTACAGAATTATGTGTAGATTGGCCCTTATGTACGATATACAACCGAAATTAATAAGAATTCATACCAAAAATCATTCATAATATAAACTTGTATTTATTTTATATATTCCTTCAAAATCACACTTGATAATAGTGTTTACAAAAATTTTCTTTATAATACAATTAACTTCTTTATATAAAAATCTTGTAAAAATATTTCATCATCATCATCTTCATCAACAGCCTTTAATAGTCTACTGCTGGACATAGGCCTCTCCTTAGAAAGGAGGTTTTGGCCTAAAGTAAATATCTCAGAATCTCAATAAGATATATTACAAAGGCCATAAAATGTTTTAAAATTAATTAATATATGATTTAGGTGAAATTAAACCTAATTTCTTGCAGTTAGTGGCAGATGGAAGCCACACATAGTAAATAGTATTAAAGTTGTGATTAAATCATACACATTAATAAATAATTAAAAAAGATTTTAAAACATTTTAAAAATGATTTACGAGTATATGCCTTCAGTCTAAAGACTTTTAAAGCAGCTTTTTAAAATGATTTTCATTTTGGTAACTCAAAAAAGCAGAAAATGGGATCAATTTTTAAGAATATTGGGTATTCTATAAATGTTCTTTGTATTTTCATCACTTAGTATTCTCGTTTTTTCTATATTAAGGTTTTTTTATAAATATTTGTATTTTAAGTGTTAAATTTCACGCTCGTCGAAGCATGTATTCTCAAGCTTGAGCAGTTTTTTTGAGAAAGTGTTTGTTAAGTAGTGGAAGTATTTAACTTTAGCAGGTACACAGATACATCACAATCTAGAGTATTTGTAACACACAGGGGCTAATCCAAACGTGTAATTCATTCCCACCTGTTATATAATCATTACATTGTAATAAATAGCTTTAACATTTTGTTAGAAATTGTTCTTAACTTTAGTGACATAATTATACAGCGTGCATTCATAACATGCCAGTAATAATCGGTATAAGCAAATCTTTAGATCTAAGTTTGTCAGTTTTCATTTAAGTTCAGTTATTTGTAAGGTCTTTTGACGCAAATGCGAAAGTTTTTACATAAATATCTAGAACCGAAATCAAACTCTAAAATACTCTCAAGGATTTTCTTTCACTTGCAAAGGCATAAACTACAAAAAAACGCACCAATATATTTAACTTTGCAATTATTTTTAATAAGTGTATTCCCAGTGTGTAATTGATTACAGAAAAAAATATTGAATACATTTTCCTATTATCTATGAAAATAATTGTTTTAAATTCAATATTTCATGTTGACTTCTAAAAATAATGTTCAATATTGTTCGTCACTTGACTGAATATGAGATTTTATATACTTTTGTAACAAAGCAATGGGCAACAAGTGAATTAAGTACAAATGAAAACCTATTTTTGTAAACTATGAATTCATTGTGATTATTCAATAAACAATATCCTAAAATGTGTGTTTGTCTTGGAAGCATTTCTCTAGTCTTACAATGCCGTCATACCAACGTATCTGTGCCCTTTTATTTGGCAATCCCCTTTGACGACCGGTGGGGTGGTAGTCGGACTCGAACCGATAACCGCACGCCGTCTCGGGTACTACTAGTAGCCGGGAACCATGTATCCCGGCACCCTGTGCAATCTAGAGCTTAAGGATGGTTGCTCGTGGGATAGCACATCAGTTCTTCATTGCACTCAGACGGGTTTTCAAATTTATTTTAAAATAACAAATATTGAATTAGCTGAATCTTGATCTTGTTTTCGCCAACAACCAGTAGTAACGGAAAGTGTGTCAAATACTCTCAAGCATTTTCTTTCACTTGCAAAGGTATACATAATTTTATGTAAAGCCATTTGGAGATAATGTTCTATAATTATGAATATGTATAAAATATAGAAAAACCGACAATGTACCTCCCGTGACCCTTAGCGGTACGACTTTACGGAGAGTTTATATCTTTAAATGTCATGGCCACATGTTAACCCCTGACCTCCGGGACGACTCAGATATTGACTGAGAACGGAGGGCGGGAGACCGATTGATGAATCGTCCAAACATACATCCGTAACATCATTTTCCGACATGGTTAAAAAGAGTACCAACAATTATATACCAAAGACAAGCTTAAATTCAGTGGCTATTTATCCTGATGATAAAGGCAGATCAAGCTATGACACCGAGTTATTATTGGTACAAAAAAATATCTGTCCTAAACAAATGACGTTGTAAGTAAGAGGGCTGCGCAAAACAAAAAAAATGAAACATTGAAAAATTTAACTCAGGTCTTTTCATTGACGACCAACATGGTGATGATGTCCTCCCAGACGTATCCGTCGACACCCTGTCACCTTTCAACAGCTCCGTTTACGCTCATGCGCTCGTACGTGACTCGCAAAACCGAATTTGGTTTTGAATACATGGTCACATGGGACACAGTGAAGCTCACCCCGCGTATTGTAAGAGTAGTTATAGGAGGGCTTAGGACGAGTTTTCCGAAGCTGGCGTTTGGCGTCAAGGTCTTCAAGACGGCTTTGTTCACAAAAAAAAGAAATCGAGAGTAATAGTTATCAGGGTACCTAGTACTATGCAGGAAAAGGAAGTTCACCACCAGAATCTAGCAAATAAGATGCAAGACCACCACTACCACCACCAGAATCTAGCAAATAAGCTGCAAGACTACTGTTGCAACGTTCCTGAGCTCAATTAGGTTAGGCCACAAGTCGGGTAAGAAAGACGACGAGAAGTATCTGCAAACATCCAAAAAGCCCTAATAACTAGAGACAGAGTATTTGTGAACTGGTCATCTTGTCTTGTCAGAGATTTTACTCTTGTAACTCGATGTTAAAGGTGCCAGCAGTATGTCGACCGACGTCATGCACCTGTGGGCACTGCGGGGAGCTAGGACACTCGCTAAACGACTACACCAAGAAGATAGAAGTAGCAATATGCGCTACTTGCCTGCGCTTCAAAAAGCCGAACAATCATGTCACAGGAGCTCCTTGCTGTCCGTCAAAGCTGATGGCTGAAAAAAGATACTTGAACTCCATTGATTACGAAGGCGCCTAAGAGCGCATTTAACACAGACATTTGCTGACATTTCTGTTTATATATGGTGGCGTTATAAACAGCGCAGACACAAAAGGAGACATTGAAAAATTGAAACTGTCAACCCAGCTTATAGTCTCAGGTCTTGTCATTGACGACCAACGTGATGATGATGTCCTCCCAGACGTATCCATCGATGGCGCTGACATTTCTGTTTATATAGCTTTAATTCATAAATTTTGTAAAATTACCTGAATAAAAACTATATAAACAGACTATAATGTCCCCTTCCTTGTAAAGTACGTGCGGGTTCCGCCGCGTGGACTTCCGCCACATGGCTACCTCACTCCCAACATCAATTTCCCAACTCGTTTTAATAATAAGTAAATATTCTCCAGATGGTCGTGTCACTGACACGGCACTGGCATGTTCACCATCAGGTCAAAGTTGAAATTTATTGCCATATTATATCAGCATTTGTCGGTCACTGGTTCAAACGTTATAAGGGTTTATAGGTGGCCGATCTGGAGAGTATCTCACCTCATCCTCTTCATCACCTCGTTATAAAAAAATGATTAAGGCCCAGCGCTGACTGACGTCGTGGCACGGCAAGGCGTGGTTCGGCAGTCCGAAGGACGCTTTGGTATATCGCGGCATGCCATGGCATCCCACTGAAAGCTTAGCAACTCATCTTAGTCACCATCAGTTTTAAACCTTATTTCAATTAGTTGTCATAATCCTGTGATCTATGATATGTCTTGTGGGACGCGGTGGCACGCCGCGGCAATGCGTGGAATAAAAAGTACGACACGACGCGCCGCAATATGATTGTATCGAAATAAAGTAATATGAATTCTAAACTCATCGAAATAAGGATAAAAAGAAATTGATCAGAAATAAAAGAGGCGTGCAATGGGAGAGGCCTTTGTCCAGCAGTGGACTGCGATAGGCTGATGATGAAACGGCATGGCACTGAATGGTTTCTGCCTTTTCAAACTGGTGATGTTATGTCATGTAATTTAAATATGTTATGGCGGTAAAGCACCTAAACTCATAATAAAAGTAATTTTATTATGGGTTTAGGTGCTTTACCATTACCATGTTGTATTAATTAAAAAAAAAACTATTCGTGAAAGAAAGTATGGGTTGGCGAGGCTATGCACTCAGTACTATTCATCCATTCCTTAAATTATTTGGCATTAAAGTGACATGAAAAAATAAAACCAGATATATTCCCATTCAATTTATATTTGGTTTTATATCAAAATTCTTACATTTTATATTTAAATCATGACACTAATTAATGAAACATTTACTATACAGTCTTAGCAAACAGTACGTCTATGACATGTAATTGATAATTAACTTCATGTTAACAGCATTTTACAAAGCACAAACATATACTAATGACTTAATTTCCACTTAAAGGGATTCTCCATTGATAGACAACACACAATACCTACACACATAAATTTTAAAGAAGGTATGAGCTAAAAATTACACATTGTACATGGTTGCCAATAAATAACCCCTAATAACACTACAAACAAGTAACATTAAATACAGTATTTAAAAAAAATTATAAACAACTTTGGCTAAAGTATCATCAAGTGCTTTTACTTTAAATCTCAGTGGAAATGAAGCCTCACATACAAAATATCAAATCTAAGTACGTAATATATATTCATTAATTTTTTCAATTAAAAATACACATTTTTTTTCTTATAATACATAAAGTGCAATATCCTTTACAACATAGAACAACTTTAAAATTAGGAAACAGTAACTGACACATTTAGACCTGGTTTTTTTAAAGAAAATGTTTTTGAGTTGTGAGTAGCCTAAAGAAATAATTATACAATCAACAATTAAAAAAATATAAACAGATTTACATGTAAGTTCTCTAATACAAGCATCAAATCTTTGTTACACCATTTTATAATGACATAATATCTCTAATCTGCTGCTTGTCATTTGATCATATTAATACATAAATATTCTTCAACATTCACATCTATATAGCTCTGTGCTGAATGCGTACAGCACTACATAAAAATAATAAATACATATAAGTTAAAAACATTGTCTGCACATTAAAAATATCTTAAAAAGTGTCACATTATAACTAAATCCTTATCTAATGTCCAGCATTAAGAAAATATGTGCTGAATGATTAGCTTACATCAATTCATAACTATACCCTTGGGGACATATCTACGGGTGATACCCACATTTAAAAAATAGATATCATTTAGAAACTTATCTTTATTTTTGCAATTAATGCATAGGAGTTTAACATCAGGATAAAAATTAATAGACACAAGGATTAGAATAAATATCAAAGACAATCAAATTGTATTATTTAAAAAGATTGTGTCTATATCCCTAAACTGAAGGTAGTCAGTCAAAAAGCATTTAATTCTTAGGGGCTCTAGTTAAACACTGGTATTGCATTCTATAAAAGTTTAAACAATAATGAGTATCAACCATTGAGTGTCATCTCTTCACTACCTACCACCTTGTCTTAGTCTGAACTTGATTCCTCGGAGCCACTGCTGCTGTTGCTGTCACTCTCAGAGTCACTGCTGCTACTGCTATCAGAATCGGAGCCCGAATCATCTGATGAAGAGTCTGATCCGCTGTCTGATGAACTATTCTCAGAGCAGTCTGCACAATCATCAGTTTCAGTGCGTTTCTTTTTGTTTGGTATTTTGCAACTCCCGTTGCTGTAATAAAAATAATAGTTTAACAAGTGATCACATAAAAAACCCTATTTGAACAAAATAATAAAGCACAAAATATAGAAATTGCTAAAGATACATCTACCAAAATTGAGGGTAGGGTGAATAAAGTAGTTTTTTATTGTTAACTTCTAAATTCCATTGTAAATAAAAATAATAGTTTAACAAGTGATCCAAATCCAAATTCATCCAAATTCATTTTTTATTACCAAAAAGAAAAGTACAAAAAATGTGATACATTGCCGGTGGCCCCACACTAGGCAAGCCTGTCCTGTGGGTGCCAGTTGCGATTACACATTTCGCTATACATTGTTGTTCGGTAGATATTACATCGTCGTTTTCAATTTAATGTATACAGTGTTACTTGCTTATATTTGAGACAGCAATCTATTTCCTCCGAGTATGCGTTTGGAAGAAAACAATTGCCGTCCCAAACAAGTTGGCAACAAAAAAACAAAAAAAAGGGATAAAAAAAATATGAAAAATGATTAAAAATGAAAAACAATAATATTGGCAAAACAGCGTTGGTAAATACATGCATGAGGTTATTTTATAGATATTAATATTGTAAAGATAAAAATAACTAAATGTGTGTGTCTATATTGGTTTAAGGTACTTTATATGTTATGTGTAATATAATAAATTATTCTCAAAGAATAAGGCGCAACATTTATGAAACGTGCGCCAACAGACCTTCTGTATAGTCGTATGTCAAAGAAAGCAACCATTGTGTAATGTTATCACATAAAAAACCCTATTTGAACAAAATAATAAAGCACAAAATATAGAAATTGCTAAAGATACATCTACCAAAATTGAGGGTAGGGTAAATAAAGTAGTTTTTTATTGTTAACTTCTAAATTCCATTGTAAATAAAAATAATAGTTTAACAAGTGATCACATAAATAAAAACTATTTGAACAAAATAATAAAGTACTAGAAAAAATATAGAAACTGCTAAAGATACATCTGTCAAAATTGAGGGTAGGGTGAATACAAATGCATGTAAAAGCTCCAATACAAGTTACTTTAGAATAATAAATAAGTATCAAATAAGATTTAGTTAAAATTTAAGAAAAATATAATATCTAAAATTAATCAAAAACAAATCATTCGAGTTAATATCATTGACCTAGAAAATCAGCTTAAACATGTAAGTACCTTAAAAGTGGAAGAAAGATAATATTTGTTAATAGCAGATTAATTGAATCAATTTACAATTAATAAATGCTTTTTATGGAATTATTTATAAAAATTACATTGTTAAAAAGAACCTAGTTCACAAGGATTTTTTTTTAATACTAGGATAATTATTAAATGGATTTATCCTACCTGCAAGAACCTTCATCACGAGCTTTTAGGTTCTTTTTTAGGACCTGTGTGCGAGACGGGCGCACCAGAATCTTACGCTTCCCAGTGCACTCGTAGCTCCAGTGACCATATTCCAGACACTTCTGGCAGCGTATACCTTGAGGAAAAGCTGCTGCCAAAGCCGCTTGCCTAAAACAAAATTAATATCCAATTAATAATGCTTCATTAATATTGCGATTCGACGAGAAAATAGAATAATCTTACTTTTTCTTCTGAGCTTGGTGCCTATTATACGTTCCCAAAGTCATGATGAAAATTTGAGTCGCAAATTATATTGAAGGAAGGTAGTTGAACAAATTAACTTCGAAAAGGTGTTCAGTGACTATAAGTTGACTGTTACTCTCCAAATACCAATGAATTATATTAAACCACAAAAATTCAATTACAAAGCATGGAAAATAAAAGACTTCAATTTGTAGTTGTCAAACAAAGCACAGAGAATAATATTATGACAACCACAGATTATACCCAAAATAATCAATGCTGTTTGTTTATCTAATTTAAATGATCATTGACTTGTTACCGATTTCAATTGGATGAACTGAAGACTATCAAGTAGCGAAAAAAAGGCTTAATTACTGAAACAGACAAAATTAGTCTCCTCAGTTTTGCGGCACATGTACTCCACATTATGTTTCACTCTAACGACTTCATGCAGATTCATCTTGCATCTCTAGAAGCTGACTAAAGACATCTAGATATCTAAGACTCATAAAATCGATCATTTTTGTTGCTATTGTGTGTGTTGATCTATGACTTTAAAGTCTACACATGTTGAGAATTGATCAATTGACGAACCTCTTTTCTACAACCTCATGTGTGACAGCGTCAAAACGAAAATAGAATAGAAAAGTAAAAAGCATTGATATAATACTTTTAACTCAATGGTAAAAAGCAAAAGAGATGAATGTGTTTTTAAATCGTTTTTCTTTATTCTGTTCAAAGTATTGTATTACACATTTTTTTTAATGTTGAAAGCACTCTTGAATCTTTAGTTTATTTGCTACAACAAACCCAAACCCACTGAAATTTACAACAACACAAGAGACGATTTCAAATAATTAAAAAAAAATGAATTAAAGCTGTTTGAGTTTTTACTTTAGTCTTGCGTAGAGAGCAAAAACTATTCGTATGATTTCGGAGTATAATGTACATTCCGAATTCCAGTATGGTAATTTACCCAATTAAACCTTTTTCCTGTTAATAAATTATTTAATTTCCAGCTGGAAATCATTGGGAGAGGCCTATGTCCAGCAGTGGACAAGCATAGGCTGAGCACACAAATTATTTAATTAGTAAATACGTTTGAACAACAGTGTGTTTATTCCAGAAGTTGTGAAAACTAATAAAGCGGAGCAGTGAATTTAAAAGTAAAAGAAAATTTAGGTGATTATAATAATGTGGGTTTTTACTTGAAAAAGAACCAGTGGCATGTTCGTTTAAACCTATTTTCCTGTTCGCCACGAGATCAGTTCCTGTTCGAGCTATTGTTTCAATTTTCCTTAATTTTTTATTTGACAGTTGACATTTGACAATATTACGTGGAATGTTGTTCAATCTGTGGTTAAAAGTTTTTGAGGTACACAGTTGCGCGCAACTTATAATAATTTTTGATAATTGCATAATAAAAATAAATAGCCGGTTTTCGGTTTGAAATGTCCGAAATTATTACAGCTGTTAAAAAATGTCGGACTGGTATTGGCGGGTATTCGCTCTAAAGGCAGCTTTTGCTTTAACATTTATTGTATGTAGTATACGAGCTGACGATACAGTGCAACAGTTACCGTTCTGCAATCCCACGAACGTAAACGAAGACTCTGCTTTAAAAGAGTGAGTTTTTAAATGTACATTTAATTCACTTGTTGTCTTCAGGATAAGCTAAAACAATCTTTTAGTATTACGAAAAATTTTGATAGGTAACTTGTTTGTTTACAAAACAAATTCAACATTTTAGTTTTTGTGATGAAAGAACAGGTTTTTATTACTTTACAAATTATGACTCTTCAGCGGAATTAGACGATATAACGTTTTAATCTCTGCCATAAGGATTTTCAGTTCTTTTTAAACTTTAAACCTGTTGTGACATGTTCCTCCTGTTCAAATTTCTAGAAAGGTGATAGACGAGACCACTGATCAACCTAAATGATTCTATGCTGCTTAAAGAAGGTTAAATATCAGTTCAGAAAATTTCTCAAAACTCAAAGACTATCAAAATCCAATTACATGCATTTGACCTTGGTTACTTATCTTTCAGTGAGCAAATGAATCAGTATGTGAAAGTGTTTATGTGACTTTTTATTTTGCATGTTTAAGCATAAAACACCCGTTATACATTGAATTTCATTTTGTTTATAGTATATATGTATTTATACCTTCTTTCTAAGGAGAGGCATAGGTCCAGCAGTGGACTAATAAAGGCTGTTGATGATGATGATGGTATATAAACTTTCTCAAATTGCTTGTTTGTACACCTTTTCTCATACCTTGATAACAAGCTTTCCAGCCTTAGTAGTCAATAGACGCTGAAAAGAAGTAGAAAAAGTGAGGATGGTTCCTTTTAGTCATTTATATAATCAATTGTATATGTTCTATTGTCAGGATTTAATGGTGAAAGTGATTAGAGTAGTGTGTATCTGTGTGTAGATCATAAACAGATAGACCAACTTTGATATGAAATGTGACTTCATGAAGATGTTCAATATAATTTGAGAATATATCTTAAGCCGTTTCAATTATAAATTGTTGAAGAAAATTTTGAGACACATAATATAATTTATTTCTATGCCTAATTATCTTATCTAAAGATTTTAATTTTTTAAACTACAGAGTGACACTTTTCTTTGTCACGGTAAGTCAAAGTATCCATTTTTAGTTCAGGTTTTTGCTTAAGCATATTTGTCTCAAATATGCACTTAGGCATGCAATCAATAGGTATGTTGTTTGTTTGTTAGTCATATTTAACTCCAACTCTTGCTGTGTGTCAGTATTTTTGGAAATGATATACAAAATTATGTCATCAGAAAACCTTAAATTATTTAGACATACTTCTGAGTCTGTAACTGCACATTTGAATTGTCTGAAGACTTTCTCATTAATAATGTTGGCGAGAGTGGGTCTTTTCATCCTACATCTTTTATTAATTGATAATTTCTTCTTTTATTTTTAGCAACTCTTGCTATACCACTATGAATTAGTAAAATAAAGAATACATTATTACTTTTCTCTTATCCAGCGTTTCTTTAAGGAATTATTATTTACCACGGAATCATAGGCCTTCCTACTTCAAAGCAACAGTAGATGGATAGACGATTAACCATTTATTTTTTATTAAAAAAAAAAATATATCTATATTCCTTGTTCTATAAAATTTGGTTATACAGTTAAAACTGTTTATGAGCACATAGTTTAGAACAATATACCGGCTATATTGACCAAAATCAAAGGTTCCGGCTGAATGCTATATGACCACCTTATTAGAAACTTTATTTTTTACGACATCGCTTATTACCACATACCTCATTAAGTGACTAGATTAAACTAATATCTTTGTAGAATTACATCTGTTTAACAATTTGAATAGGTCACAGGCATAGTATAATGGTTATTGGCTATTAAGATCGTAAAAGTAAACAAAAACCGTCGAGTTTAGGTTTTTTCGTAATTCTTACTTACAAAATACATGTGCACACACAATATACGAGACAGGAAAATGACGAAGAGAAAGACTGAAGAACTATTTACAGTGCCAATTTTGAATGATGGTCTCAATGCTGTTCGCATATTACGAAATATTGTTCTTTTTAGTGAACTGTTCTTACATGCAGGGAAATTATGACGATACGTAATTTAAAATCCAACGTGAATTACAAAATGTGTATGCCCAACAGAAGTATCCCAAACAGACTAAAATTACAAATTTTATGAATACAAAATATGGTTAGTAGACTGTTAAGATTAACTCAACTCACTCAAATCAAAATATAATTATTTCATTTAAAAAAAATGTTTGAAATTGTCTCTTATGTAGACTAATAAAGTCATAAATCAACACACACAATCTCTGTTTTGTCAAATATTTAGCAAAATAAATATAATAAAATTATATGCATTGAAAATCTTCTGTATACTTGTGTTAATCTACAGCCGCCCGTGTCCAAGGTTTCGAGCCTTAAGAGAAGAGAGGGCAAACAAGATATTAGTAGAAACAAATCTAAAAAATCAAAATAATGACAAATTGATTTTCTTGATTTATAAAAAAAGGTAAAACCATAAGGTATAAGTACTTAGGCACTTCAGATTCTGCCTCTCCCTATGGTTGTTTCTCATAAAGTATTTTAGTTATCTGGCTAAGATAATTTCTGAAAATGTTAGCTGTCAATTTCTATATCATTTTCCTTTATGTGTATTAAAATAACAGTAAAAGTGGTTCAGCAGTGCAATATACATTTACTACCTTTTGCCCGTGGCTCGCGATTATGTCGGTCGGTACGCCCTTCCTCAAGAATCAAAGTCTCTCCATGCCAAGTTTCATTTAAATCGGTTCAGTGGTTTAGCCCTGAAAGTGTAAAAGACAGAGTTACTTTCGCATTTGTAATGTTAGTAGAAATTTTCTATTCAAAGATAAATTCAAAGTTAGAGCTGCCACTGTATAACATGTTATATACACAATACAAATATCTATATGTCTATTTTTATTATTCTATTAGTATATTTTTATCTAAAAATACTATCCAACTTAAAGTAAATAGTGGCTTTTGCTATTATGTAATTAATTGCTTGACTGCTTAGTAAACACAATATAAAAAAAAACAGTTATTTACCTTGGCATATCTTTATTAGGACGTATTTGATAAATATAATTATGTAGGCGCAATTGCCATAATTCAAAGATGTGAGGTCTTGTAGAAAGTAATCTTCACCTGTTGGTGATGATTCCCTTTGTGTAGATGTACTGATGTTTGATGATTGTTGATGATGATTTGTTTTTGCAAATGATCAAAAGAGTCTGATGATTTCCTTGACATGGTTATACTCCTTACTTACAAACTGACTAGTTTAGTCAGTTGCGCGAGTCCTAAAATAATTGAGGTTTTTATAACCTCAAAAACTTACACTCTACAGCTCCGAAGCCCCGTTGTCATAAACCTCTAGACTCTTGGAGGTTATATACCATTTTGCTACCCCAATATTTTTAAAGCAAAGATTGGTACTATGTTAGTTTTTTCGGTATATACTATTTTTTATCGGTTGCAGTACGCTTAATAAGTCAATGATAAGAAATAGTTACGCAAACAGATGATTAAATTTTTTTAATAGAAACTTGGACAACATTCCAGAACGATTGTCAAGTTAACTGTATTCAGGCGGTATTCTGGCTTGAATTTAAGGTAGTTTTGAAGGCAATTAATATTTTTACCATGCATTTTTCTATAAGAAATAGATTAATATTTCAAGAATACAGAAAAAAAAACTAAATTCAAACAGAATATGTCTATATGAAAAAAAAGAAAAAAAACCATTTTTTCAAATTTCTAGACCAAAATACCCCCTTAAAAAAACCGATGTTAAGCGCTTTATTCCCTGCTTTTCACCGAGTGACTGTGGTTAAAACGTTATCAATGTATTTCAACCCAAACTCAACTCTTCTGTACAACCCAAACGGGGCCAATATATGTAGATACCTATATACAGAGGTGTCGGTAACGGTACCTGTGTCGCGAGTTCAAAAAATATATTATTTTGTTTGTTGTTCAAAAATGCCTAACGTGTCTTAAGCAGTTTTCACTTCAAACATATATTTTTTTAACAAATACGTCATGGCTTTGAATTTCATGCTGAGATACCTCCTCTGGGACGCTGAAAGGAAGACATTACGATAGCTTATTAATATTAAGGTGCGTCGAAGACGTCTTGTTTTCTATTGGTTAATTTGTGATGGCAACTCTTTGGTTTCAGCCTAGTTATCGTCAGCACCTTAGATGGGAGGCTAAGTGCATTCTCCACAAAAAATGGTAACAAGGCATGGGACCTTGAGACACAGCCGTTGCTGTCCTCTAACTTGCATCATGTCGAGGTAATAGAACATTCTATAGTACGTTTATATACTTAAAGACTATGTACATATATTTTAATAGCTTATAATCTCCACCACAATTTAAATATGCGTTAGTCTATTAAATATAAATTTATAGGCTTTCTAACGGCTGCCGGTGGTGGTGGTAGTCGTGTTACGATCAAGTGGTTGCAGGTTCAAACCCCCACCCAAAACACTACATAAAACCCACTCCTCATAAAAGCATTTAGTTTAGCTGGAAAGGTTAACTTGAATACTAGTAATGTGTAAGTCATGTTGCTAATATTCTTTATTAATAAACACGCCAGGCCATATTAGAATAAACTCAATCTGTGTCTTCATGAAAGGTATTAAAAAGGAAAAGTAATATTTTTATGATTGTAATAAATCTGCTTGATCTTTCTCCATAATATATGTTGCGAATTCCATTGCGTAAGTGTCAATGAAGTCTTAATGATGTTATTAAGAAAAAACTCGTACAAAAGTACCACTTAGGTTTTATTTACAATTTTAGAACTGCCTAAAAATTGTTGACAATTTTTTATATAAAACATAATTACAGCTTACATCAGGAGGTAAATGGGTGCGATTGGTGCCATCCCTCACCGGTTCACTGTACAGCCTCAGTGGGGACACGATTGAGCCCCTACCGTTCAACGCGGACCAACTGCTATCCTCGTCATTCAAATACTCCGATGACCTGGTCATAGCCGGTAAGTTCGATACTCTAGTTTTTTGGACCGAGGAAAATTTTTAACGGGCGGCCTGGTTCGGCTGGAGTTATCACTCCGGTATCCCAAGGCCTCACAGAACAACGGTATTAGGTAGTCTTTTCGTTACTTTTCACCGAGGTTACCGGAGCTCCTACACCTGATTCTGGAGTAAGGGACTCAAACAACACACTTGCGACTCTTGTGAGTTGCATGTCCATGGGCGGCGGTTTTCACTTACCATCAGGTGAGCGGTCTGCTCGTTTCCTAAATCGACTAAACTCTTGCTTACTTCTGTATTTTACGTCGCTAGTCGCTAGTGTACTAGGCGTGGTACCCACCCGCAACTGTTGTATCGGAAGTTTCGATACAGTAGTTATTACGCTAGGGAAATTGAAAGTTTTGTAAATAATTAGCAAATAATAAAAAATATATATAATTACTTGGTTACATTACTTTGTTTTATTATTAACTTTATTCATACTAAATATTAAGTGAAAAAAATTGTGTTCAAAGGTTTACATGTGACAACAATGACCTTCATATGATATGCATATGAAGGTCATTGCTCTATTTAATAGAGCAATGACCTTGAATAGAGTCTATTACATCGGTAGAAATGAAAAGGTGCTATGAAAGTTTAAACCTTAGATTACAATTGTATTCACTTAATATTCAGTATGAATATAGTAATAAAACATCTACAACACATACATACATACAACATCTGCCTATATAGACAGCGTAGTAATCGCAAACGCCCACATTTTGTCAACTGTAATTATTATTATTTCCTCTGACGTAATAGGGCCAACGCAGACCGAGAGGAGCGCAGCGGATAGGATTTTTTCAAGAAAGTAGTTTTTTATTTCAGTAAAGTTCACTCGAAAGTGAACTTTAAAACTATTGCTAAATAAAAAGTCTCTTTTAAGAAGTGTCTCTTAAAGAAAAGAAAAAAAAAAAATAGATTTACTAATAAATAGGCTAAATAATAATGTCTTTATGCATCGTCTGAAAACAGCTTATTGGCATCAACGCGTGAGTATTCAGAGTCCCATGCCTATTAAGTATTATATACAATACGGGTACCTATGTTCCTAATATGTAGAAAAACTATTGACAGTCTTATCGCAGATTTTGATGTCTTTCAGACAACTTTTTTAGTATGTACATCTATTTATAGATCAACTTTCGAAATAAAATCTTGTATAATCAAATCCGTCTTGATTAATATTATCGCACATAAAATTCAATTGTATTGTAAATAAATACACATGTTGAATCAACGTCCTTGATGTCGATTATTGGTTAAGGCGTTATCTAGACATTATTATACCTAGGTATGTGTAATAAATTTACCTACCAATCTTGTCACGCCACGAAAACATTTGTACGACTGTTCGCAGTTGTTGTTTTACTCATGTCTATACTAATATTATAAAGCTGAAGAGTTTGTTTGTTTGTTTGAACGCGCTAATCTCAGGAACTACTGGTCCGATTTGAAAAATTCTTTCAGTGTTAGATAGCCCATTTATCGAGGAAGGCTATAGGCTATATATCATCACGCTAAGACCAATAGGAGCGGAGCACCAATGAAGAATGTTTCAAAAACGGAGAAAAATTATTACTATTGATAGACGCAGACGAAGTTGCGCGGGTCAGCTAGTTATAGATAAATAGATAATACTTTGTTTGTACACCAGAGATTAACAGAGACTAAAGACTTAATTACTTGTTTTATTCTATTAACTAGAACTTTTTAATTTGATATAGAAGGGCAAAACAGGGTTCATGGACACTCGCAACTAAGTGTTGAGTCGACTGCACGGATGGCGTAGTGGTTTAAGCGTTCACCTTCGCCGCTTCCTACTGCACTGACTGTTGTGGTTTCGATTCCTGCACGGGACAACACTTTGGATGCTCCACAAATTGTTGTTCTGAGTCTGGGTGTTCTTTGTGTCCGTTTCATCTATGTTTGGAAAGTCCCCCGCGACACAGGATATATTCCTAGTTCTGGAGATGTCTTAAAAAAAGTGTTACAACGCCCTTTATGCTCCCTCTCCCTCAGAATTAGGGTCAGGGGGTTTTGGACTCCAGTAACCTCACAGAAAGAATTGCTTCAACACCGGTTTTCTGTGAGGCCGTTTGTATCATCACTCTAATTCAGCATAGCTCTCCGACGATACAGATAAAATCGTTGTAGTACAGCCATTTCAAATAATTGTAATTTTTTTGACATAACCTCTTTTTTTTCAGTTAACAATTTTAAATTAGTTATTATGAAAATTGTCATTACAAGTGAAAAATATGGTTTGTATTAAAATGCAATAAAACTAACAACTAATAATTTTACAATTTTCTAGAAAAATCACGTGCTTCATTTTACTTTGAGCGCCTATCAAACAAACACTGAATAATTTAAATCTAAAATACATTTTTTTTCTTGAATGTAGTAATAATATTTAGACAATATAGTATCCAAATTTGGTAAAAACTGAATTTCGTATTTTTTTTCAAAACCGACATTCTACGGTCATGACGAAATGTTCGGTAAATCTTCGTAGTTTTAAAGGGCCCATTAATATCGATTAGAATGTTCCAAATTTCTAAATGTGTATTATGTACTAGATTTTCGCGGTAAAAAGTAGCCTATGTTACTCGCTGATAATGTAGCTTTCCATTGGTTGTCTTGAAAGCGTATCAAACAAACAAACGAACTCACTTTCACCTCTATAAATAAGTATAAAGGTTCTTGAACATCTACACGTATGAATATACCTATATTAAATTACGTGTTATGGTATTATTTTTCTTAATAGACCGGTAATTTCTTCGAAGTAAATCACACGTAATCTCATGAAATGGATAGGCGTGAAAATATTATTTACTCAAATTAGTTGTGGCTTCGAGATTGCCATCTTTTATATATACTCGATAGCGTAATTTTTTCAGAGAGTGAGGTTAGAGAAACTATTAAGGATAGTAAAGAATCTCGCTATAACGTCCATCCTTAGAGCATTTATTTTGGTTTAATGTTCTAAGCGTCTGTCAGGCAGAATGCTTAGTAAATTAGGGTTGCTACACACATACGCGGGACTTGGCAGTATTTACATATTTTGTCGAACAACAAAGGCGACTCGAAACAATTACTGCACTTGTTCGGCTTCAATCGAAACAATTACGCCGCCATTATTATTTCAATTGCCGCTATAATAATATATAAATTACAGAGGGTTTTGTACAAGAACCATTCGACATTTTTGGCTTGATCATAATAATAACAAACAGTAGGTTGACGCTTAGAATGTTCAAAATATTAATGTATCGTCATTTATTTATTTATTGGATCTCCAATAAAGGATATACGCAAAAGTAAATCTACATAGTTTTTTGAGCAGCGTACTCCTTCAGTTATAGGACACCACAGCATGCACTAGATTCTAGTCTACATCTAGTATACTATAAGCTTGGATATTCTAGTGACTAGACTATCCAAGCTTATACCTAATACAAAATTAAATTTAAAATACCACAAAATTATATTAAACACAACAAACTATTAAATTTAAATTAAAAAAAAAACCTCAAAAGTAAAAACTAATAATAAATGAGAAATTTAAAGAACTTTTTGCAAGTGTTTTTTAAATCAGGTTTAATTTTTTTTTCATTTTCATTTCATTTTATTTCATTTTGTTTTTTAAATAAATTTTGATGAAGTGTTGTATAGCCTACAAATTATCGGTACAGTAGCGTAATGACCCATGTTAGTTTGAGAAAACGAAATACCAAATAAATTTTAATTGTTTTTTTTTGTAGGACGACGCACAGGTATTTTTATGCTTAAGCACTTAGCAACTCACTGCAGTCCGTGGAACCAGTTAGTATTTTATGTAGAATTATAGAAACAAGTTTCATAATGCGGCTCGTTTTGTTCGTAAAGTTTTTTGTTTTTAATGCGTCAACTGTGATGTGTAGCTTAAAGTTTGTTTTGCTAAATGGTCTCCGTAGTCATAGCGCCTCCTTTGTTTTCTTTTATGACGGGCCTGTTGGTCCAGTGATAGGTGTCCCTGACTGCTAAGCCGGAGTCGTGGGTTCGATTCTCACCCAGGACAAATATCGTGTGTGATGAGCATGATCATTTGTTCATTGTGTGAAAATAAATAAATCAAAAATATATAAGCAGTCTGGTCACCATACCACAGGCTCTGCCTAGTTTAAGATCAGACGGCCGTGTGTGAGGTATATTATATTTTATTAATTTATTTAAAAAGCGAAAGTCCAACTAGCTCTTGACCTGTTTTTGTGATATGCATTGACGACTTCAATGCCATGGCGGTAGTGCATTGGACTGTAACGTAAACTGAAGCCGTATAGATATCCGCGCTATGCAAATATTTTTATACATAAATATGTCTAAAGCTCCTATACACCTAGATTACTAATTCTATACAAAAATAAATATTTAAAAACATCATGGGACCAAATGCTCGTTCTATTTATATAATCTAGTTAAACGAATAATCTGCACTTCTCGTGATAAGAAGGTGAGCCTGTTCCTAGCACAGAGAATTTGCTATTCTTTCTGGGCCTTCTCTAATCAGTTTATTATTATATAAGTTTAAGTTTACTACGATAAGTTTGTTTATTTTAAAAGCTAACTAAACTTGATAAATAAGCTGTTTTACTCTATGTTCTACAACCAATAGTACAATAGTTACAGTAGTGGAGGTGTGGGAAAGCTAATCTCTCCCACACGCCCACTACTTTCCATAAAAAAAACCCATAGTGACAAGCTATGTTTAGTTTGGGTTTAGAAAGCGCTGTGTGATGTCTTCAAGGATATTATTATTAACATTATTCATAATCTTATGATCAATTGTCTACTTGCAGGTGCTCGAGAAACACACTGGTTTGGTCTGGATGCTCTTACAGGCAGTATTATATACGAATGTGGGTCAGGCGGATGCAACAGCGAGGAGCAGACTGCTGGAGCAGGCCGCGATGTTCTGGTACTCAGGAGGCATTCCAACACTGTACGAGCACTTGACCCTAGAAATGGCAATGAAAAGTTAGTACATATATTATGTTGTCTCTTTCTTTCATTATAATGCGCCTGATGATGCTGCAGAGTGCGTTGGACTGTAACGAGTTTTAATCCAATGACTGTTAAAAGTAGCATACTTTTAAATACACAGTCACTCGACAGTCCTCAAATTGTGGCATAACAAGAAAAATTTGATCTCCTTTCTAATTATTTTCCTATAGTATTTTCATATTCTTGAATTATATAATTAAACAGTGATTCATTAACTGACTTGAAAAATAATTAAAGATAGCTTACTGAAAAAAACGTCTCGGGATTAAGACCGCACTCGCTTACGCTTTGCTTTTATACGATTTGACTTTTTTTCGAGACTATTTGGACTAGAAAGTCTAAAGGCTTATTGTTCACTTTATTTGACAGATGGAACTTTAGTGTGGCCGAACACCAGGTGGCGCTATCGAAGCGTGAGTGCGCGGGAACACCTACGCCCTCGGGACCCATCGCGATGGCAGTCGCCTTACCAGAAGGGATGATCACTATCAAGGATACAGATGGCACCAGCTTCTTATGGCAACAGAAGGTAATTGGAAATTAAAGGTAATAATTCTATGGGGCGTCTAGATAGAGTACTTACTTAGAGACTTTATTCCTCTCGATCGAATTCTTAGTTAACACGATGTGTGAGAGTTCAGAGGATCTAGTGCAACTTTATTTCACATCAACACGCTAAGTCATTGAAATCTGCATCAAACGCAACACTGAACGCACTCGCTGTCGAGAGCGATTAAATGTGAAATAAACTCACACAAAGCCCTCAGTCGCAACGACGAACGCCATCACCGCGACAATCGAGTTGATGTGACATAAAGTCACGCTAGGCCCCTGAAGGCTAACTATGGCACCGCACACCCTTATTGGTCAACTCAAATAGCGCGCACTTCCCCAACTTTCTGTTACACGGCTTCCGTCCCTTTTCACGAAGTCTTTTCCGATGATGACAGGAAAGCGAGAAAAATATTTTAGTCATCAGAAATGTAAATCTGAAACACTCAATTGGTTTTTATTATTAAGTTATTGATTTATATAGAAACTACATTATTATATATTTACCTACACATTTTAAAATATGTTACCATTTTTCGTTTACGTGAATGTTTTGTTCGATGTCTGGCTATAATTATATGTGTAGGCAATAAAACCTTTATCACGTAAGAGATAACGTTTAAAGTCGTCTACACGAACGGACCATGTGGTTCGTCGGCGTCCTACTTATGACGATAAACAAATTAGGTAAATTAAATTTTAGAAATGCGAATCTGAGTTTTTGTGTGTTTATCTAGTTGTCACATCTTAACTGTTGAACCAATTATCACGAAATTTTAATACACGTAGCCGGGGTACAGAAAAGGACATTGGGATAGACAGAATAACTTTTATAAAAGTATACTTTCTGTAAACCTAAACTACTGCGCATCTGAAAAACTTAAATGTAAATTACGTATAGGTACCGTCACCGATCTTGAGCGCTGATCTTTACCTGCGCAGCAGACGATTTTTGGGTACCTTTTGAAGTATGAAGTAGGGCGGAGGGGCAAATAAATCATAACGTCAGCCAGTGATTGGCTCACCGATATTGTCACTGCTCCTGATTCGTTTTCTCGCATTTATGTACGACCAGTAAACTTCCGAGCAAATTAATATGGTCTTTCTTTTTTTATTAATAATTTCTACTGTCGCTATCCATCAAGTTAATTTTCTGGTAGTTAAAAGTTGAGATTTTTATGTGAGTGTATTCTTTAATATGTACATATAAAACAATACGAAGATGATGAAATGGATACCGTACCAGTACCAGCTTTAAATAAGAAAGTGATTTGATGGAAGCTGTCACTCCAATTTTACCCTAATAATTTTATAAAGAAAATATTTTTTAAACAAAAAATTTAATTAAAAACATATTATTTATTTATTTATACATCATGCACATTTGGTGCATTGGCGGACTTAATGCCTAAGGCATTCTCTACCAGTCAACGTTTAGGTGATGCAGAGAGAACAGGAAGTAGGTGCATTTTGGTTAAAGTTTATTTGTAGTTATAATATCAAATACGCGTACATAAACCTTTCATACACTAGAACCCATACACATACCACAGAATCAATAAGAAGTTAGGTAGTGACTTTACTACGTAACGTATTATGGTTTTGATTTTTTTTATTCTATTGTAATTAAGAAAAAATAAATAATAATAAATCGGTGTGCATTTTATTTTGCCATAAGTGCACGATGCGCAAAGCGATGCCCACTCTGCCGCCGAGCGCTCAACATCCGTGCCGGTAACTATAACTCTCAAATATAAATCCTAAAACCAATAAGGTATTTCAAACAAATCGAAACTGCCTTACAGTAAATGTGCCCTCCGTTTCAATTGTAGGAATATGAACAATGTTTAACGATTTTATTAATATTGTCAGCTGGATGCTCCAGTAGCCGGCATATGGCGACTGCACTCCGGTACTCTCCAGAGCATCGACGTCCTGTGGGAGGCGACTCAAACCTTGGTCGAGGGAGGGATCGCACAAAAGCCCTCGTTATACATCGGTGTACATAATAGACAAGTGAGTAGAATAGAAGTTGTGTGTTATTTTTTCATGATCAATGAGGCATAAGAAGACATCAGTTCGCACAAACGTTCGGTGGCGGGGCAGGAAGGGAACATCCGGGTTTCCACACAGGAGGGGTAATCTATAAGCCGTAGATGGCCCGAGGTACGTCGGCGTACCAGGGCGTTCCTTTCTAGGGTATACCTGGTTTCCCGGATACTGTTACCTGGAGAAGATGTGCGGTTTTTGGTCAGTTCGAGTCCGATATAATCACCCACTGGTGGGTGGTATCCGAGGGGAGCTCCGCACAGAAAAAAAAGTGTGTTTAAAGTAAGAAGTAGTCACTTGTGTGTTATAAGGGGAAGAAAGTTAGGTTCTGTTGGTTTTCTTTAGTTAAGCATTGCAGCCCGAATCTCATTTTTACTTACTTATCTCATTTTTACTTACTCCGTCATTTATACCATTCCTTTATGCTATCCTCTGTTTATATTGGTTGCCAGATCTCTTGGTATCCTATCTGTAATTGATTGAAGTCTCTCCAGCCTGACTTAAGATAAATCTAAGTCCTTGTAGAATTAATTTTTATAAAGGTGTATTATATTAGTAAAAGTGATTGACATTTGTAAGTTTATTTGTCATTGCCTGTTTTGTTTGTCTGTGCCTAAGTAGCAAATTAATGCTGCTTTCGAATAAAAAATTGTATTTCATCAATACATTTATATTGTGATCCTTTATATGTTATGAGTGTTGGGGAGTAATGTGGAGGGTTTACACTACTTATATGTAAAATTGGGTATAGTTTCCCCATTTAAATATGTTCACATTATAAAACCCCAGAGGGATTCGATCGTATCAAACCAATATGTTGTATTTGTTTCAGCTGTACATCCAAGAGAGTGAACTCTACTCGCATAAACTGGAGACTGCGGTGTCGGTGAAGCCGCAGCAGTGGAAGCTCGTGACGTCGCGACCGCAGCCGCAGCTCCCCGCCGCCCCCGCCCCGGCCCCCGCCCCCGCCCCCGCCCGCCCCGGCGACACGGCGCTGAGCGTGCACGACACCGACGCCAACGCCTTGTCGCTCATCACGCTCTACGGGACCAACATCGGTAACACCGCCACTTCACTAGAGGCTCTGCTGTGTACAGTTGAAAGCCAAAGAGAAGGCTACAGCTTCAACATTATTTAGACGGGGTTTACAGATAATAAACGTTTTTTAAATTATCACGCTTCTGTCTGTATAAAGTCTGCTAATTTCATGTTCGTAGTCTTTGCCTACAGCAACAATATTCTATTTTACCGCCCATATGAGATAGTGCCCATACCTCTACATTCCATAAAATGCTAGTAAATATATTTATAGATATTGATTATAACATGAAATAAATTCTAAAATACAAAAAAAAACAGGAAATCATCTTCATCAACCTTTATTTTGACCTTTTTTTCTACAGAACATCTAGCAATAACAGTTCAACTTATAATAGTCAAAAATATTTGCAAAAACGATACAGGATATATTCATAGTGCGGGAGTTGTCAATAAAAAAATTGAGATGACTTATGGGTTCTTCGTGAATGAAGTCTAAATAGAGTTACTAAATTATCTCATTTTGGGTAATATTATATCCCTCTTTTTATCCTCAGGGGATCACGGCTACTTTGTCTATCAGTACGAAACTTGTGAACAATCCGTCCAGGTCACTGACAACGACTTTGATGAGGCTGGACAACCAAACACGAGCGATGATGAACCAGACCATCACCACATCCACGTGCATATATCTTCACTATGGTACTGGTGGAAAGAAGTAGTGCTTATAGCGATATCATCAGCTCTATTGATGAATTTGATGATCTGGCCGAGGATTATCGCGCCCAAGATCAGACCTGTTACGCCTTTGCCTACTAGTCAAGAACAGGTTTGTTTTTAATTAGCTTAACTTTTATTGGACATGGATTTTGGTACAAAATCTGACTCAATAAATACGTTGAAGTCCAAAATTTCCTTTCTCATTGCTCCTGTACTACCAAAATCCACTTTATTTCTGATCTAAAACCAATTTTGCAAAGCAACCGACACAGTACAAAATGTCCGTCGAAGTACTTTAAATATTACTTATAAACACAGCATTCTGTTATTTCTTTTGTCTTTCTTAACATAAAAAAATTAAGTCTCTAAACGAATAATAAACCGTAACACCCGGTTTCCATAAACATAAACATTGAATAGTCAACTAAAGTCCATTCGCGTTAAGAAAATAGTGACGTATCGATCGGGCCCCGGCCCAATGACCAATAAATTATCGTTTCGTACGAAAGCTTGAAACCTGATTGGTAAGGAATCGGTGTTCTTAATTCGTCACCACACGGGCGTCACACGCGAAAGTATTATACATATTAGAATCGTAACTGTATCTGGTCAGGTGGTGGTGCAGGTGTACGGCTACGCGCCGGAGCCGCTCCCCCCGCCCCCGCCCCCGCTGCCAGTGGCGGAGTACTGCGGGCGCTACGACAGCGACTTCAAGGCGGTGCGACTGCTCGGCAAGGGCGGCTTCGGGGTAGTGTTCGAGGCCATGAACAACATCGACCATTGTTCGTATGCCGTCAAGAGGATCACTTTGCCCAGGAAGTGAGTCATTTATCTTAATGTATTTTGCAAGTAAATAGTTGTTTTGTTTTGTTATAAGTAACAAATTCTAATAAGTGTTTGGAGCGTTTGCGTTTCAAATTGAATTTGTTTTTTTCTCATTCAATTTTACAGTAAAAAATATGATTGAAATTTCTATTGAAGATGGGGTCTGGGAACATCTTGGTAAACAGGTCTAAATGTATATGTTACAGGCATTGCCACAGTTACGTAATTTTGCAACAAATGTAATTTAACAAAAAAGTTGTACTGACCGAGGTGTCCGAGCCAGCTTATCAACAAGACCAGTGCAACTGGGTCAAAACGTCAAACGACTACAAAATTTGTAATACAATGACCATGTTAATATTAGTAAATAAGCCTTGTATATTATATAAATGTCACTAAGTTAGATAGCGATGTCAAAGTCCCGTGTGTGCTTGTCGCAGAGAGGCGAAGCGCGAGCGCGTGCTACGCGAGGTGCGGGCGCTGGCCAAGCTGGACCACGAGCACATCGTGCGGTACTTCAACTCCTGGGTGGAGGAGCCGCCCCCTCACTGGCAGGAACAGCGGGATGCCACTTGGATGAAGTATGATAATCTCACTCCTTAAACCTCGCTCATTTCCAACTCGAACCGTTTTTTCTATTCGTATTATTTTTAATAGTAATAGTGCCATATTGACAGCTTTAGTCGTATTAGGAATAGAATTCATTCAAAGTTAATTTTAAGTATTCTATTAGTACCGATCATTATTATAGTGCTAATTAAGAGTGTTTTTTGCATTTAAATTGTTTGTATATACAGGGAACTGGAAGGCGCGTCTTTGGCTATGACAGATGATTACTACGGAACATCCCGCACACCTGCCAAGAAACCACCGAAGGATGTCTTATTGGACTTGAGCAGTAAATGCTCACTACCCCCCAAGAGACTCAGGTATTTAACGATTTTGTAGTAATTTAACATTTAAAGTGCTAAAAGTTACCCATCTTCAAGAATCCATAGGTTTGTATGACCATATGCAACGTTAAAACGTGTGTTAGTAGACTGGAGTCGGAAATAACCACTTCTTCCAATGCAGAAGTGGTAAAAAAGAATAGTATTAGTAGAAATAAAATAGTAATCAATTTCACCCAGCAATACCTGGATGTGTATACTGTGCATCCATTTAGATTTCTAACTACAGAACTGATGAGTTTAGTGTAACATACCGTTTCAGACATGGGGTTAAAGATTCTTTATTCTCAATAAAAACAAAGTCTCATGAGAACAATAATAACTTCAAGTATTATATAGGTTCGTTCGTCATTTCACTCAATAAATAATATAATTGTGGGTAGATAAGTACTAATCTAATGTATTCATTTGCTCAAGGACAAGTTATGTGAATGATGTACGTACATATTGAGCTAATCGAGTTTTGAATACATTAAATGAGTTTACATTTTTAATGTACGATAGTAGTTTATTGTATAGCTGTGCCCCTTCATATGTCAGCATTTTTTTTTTAAATAATTTGTTCTAGGTTTAGGCAAAACTAAGAAACTAGCTCGGCGAGTACTATAAAAGTAAATGTTGTGTTGTGTAAAGCAATAGCGAACTTTTGTTTTTCAGATCCCAAAGTTGCAACGATTCAGTCAGCATAGTCTTTGATAAGAACGCCCCCGATCACTTGACATCAGCCCACCTGTCCAACACCCCAGTCAACATCACCCCCGACTCTATCGCCAAACCTCCATTAAGCGATGACGACTCGTTCATAGTGTTCGCCAACTCCGAACATACAGAGAACGCCGTTGACGAAGATGAAGATGATTCAGAGTTGAAGAATTCTTCATACAATAAGAGATTGGAGAGAGTCAAGGAGTGTGATTATAAGACTGAAACTACAACTAGCAGAAAGAAAAAGGTATGTAATTTCTTTGAAATGGATCCAGTCAAGTCAAGCATTTAGGAGTGGTACAATGATTTTCTTATTGTATTACACCAAGTGAGTGAAATTAATGGAGCCCCCTCCGTCCCCCTGCAGTAGTTCGGCTGTAGTTCGATGTGTCATCGTTAGATGGCGCTGTAGTGTGTTTCTGTTTCTTTGTATGTGGGAGTCGCCACACCTACTATACCAAAAAAAAATTGCGACCTTCCGGCCAGTGTCACCCAAAGTAAGGTCGCTTCACTCAATGATAAAAGTTTTAGGCCCGTATTTTAAAAGACGTCTCAAGTGTCGGTTGAACTCTGATTGCCTGAAACTAGTTTTAAGTGCAGATCAAATCTTAAGTATCGATCTTATTATAGAACGCGTTTTAAGTTTTACTCAGTTGAAACTAGTTTCAAGTATTGATTTGAACTCACAGTCTGTTCTCAATTACGTTTCCGCATGATTGACACTATTATTCCGCATTACGCAGCTAATTATTTATAAAATAATTTTCTTTTACAGAAATAATTTCTGTGACTTTGTATATAATATACTATTGGCTAGTGTAGCAATGTTAACACATTAAAAAGCTTGTTGTTTTTCAAAATTAAGTATAATAAATATTAAAATAAAAATGACTAGCGTAAAAAAATAAAAATAAGCTATAACGGAACGTTCAAGTTATTTATCAACACTTGTCATGTTGAAATGTCAAACGATGTTCTTATTTGATATTTCCAAAATTTATATTACTATACTTTTAACATAAACCAAAAGGTTGTGGTAATTTAAACTAGTATTGTGTGTGTAAAATGTGAATTTTGGTGAATTTCATATCAATTAAGGTAAATGAAAGTGTAATTGATTATAGTATGCCAAGTAATTCTTTTGTAAATAAAGTAAAGTAAATCTTTCGTAATTATTCAAAAATAAATCATCGTAAAACACATTCATTTCCCCTAAATGCCCTAGAAATCACCGCTTGAGACTAGTTTCAGTTTGTCTCACGTAAACAAAGATTACAGCTGTCAAAATCTATACCTGAGTAATGATTTTGACATAAACATCGTTCTAAAATAAGCTATCACTCACTTGAGTATGGAGTGTCGAATCTCGTTTTAAGTGACGTTCAATAATAAAATCTCTACTTAAAATTAGTTTTAAGACTAGATTCACGACTGAGACAACTTTTAAAATACGGGCCTTAAAGCGTAGAAACTAACTCACTTTCGTATTTACTTGTAGTAATAAGTTACAATACTTATAAGTTCAATCTAGGCTAGGATGCCGCGCTATTCTATTACACCACTTGTTCCACCACTTAAAAGGACTGTTCTAGGTGCCAGCTCTCCATGCTCAAGATTGTGTAAATCAATTAATAATATTGTGTAAAGCAATAAAATCGATCTTCACTTTGACTCTGTGGCAAAAGTTAAATCAACACTTTTGAACTTACCTGATTTTACATAGTGTATCTATTGATAGATTAAACTGGCTGAAATTGTAATTATAAGAATATCTACATTTACGAATTACATTATATGGCTTACTGTCTGTATTTTTTATAATATTTTAAATGCGGTGTTTACCTTTAAGTAATTGTAACATTAAGTTTTGTATTTTCGCATGCAACTAGAATAAGTTTAAATGTTAACAATTGTTGGTAGACCATATACAAAAAAAAAAAATTACGATATTATGTCACTATATATATATATATATATATATATAAATAAATTACAGAAGGGCCACACCCGTCACTGGTCGCTGGACATGGTGGTGAGTAGCAACGAGCTTCCCCCTCCCGGCCCCAGCACCGCGAGCTACAGCCCCCAGATGTACCTTTATATACAGATGCAGCTGTGCCGCAGGGACAGTCTGCATGACTGGCTCCGGCAGAACGTCTCGTGCGATGCCAGAGCTGATAAGGTATATAACGTTGTATTATTTCTTATATACTCCTTATAACAAGTTCGAAACTGAAGGTTAAATACAGGACCGTACCTTCTCTTGTGTAGCCGAACTGAGGATCCCGTGAGCGGCAAGTAAAAGTTCGAAACAGTTTATTGTCACTTACTAAGTACACAGTTGATATCCACAAGTAAACAATCTATTCACAAAAATATATTGTACAAAACATAAACCACTATTGATTATTTCTCCTTACATATCGCACTGCGCGAGCGCACGACCGCTGACCAGTAATAAATCGAAACAGTACCCAGTACACCCTTGGAAAGAAGTTTGACTTTAGATTTTTATTCTAATCATTATCTCTGGCTTAGCAGTCAGGGTCACAGGGACAGTAAAAATAATTGTTGTTTAATAATAAAAAAAAGCACAACAATAGATTTAATAGACTAGACTTGTAGGACTAAGCTTGTGCAACCTTCGTTATACATATAATTATGTTCTACTCGACTAAACTCTTCTCAACATGTCCTTGTAGGTAAAAATACTGTTTAGTCAAATAGTGTCAGCAGTGGAGTACGTGCACCTGGCGGGGCTGATCCATCGCGACCTGAAGCCCAGCAACATCCTGTTCGCGCCGGACGGGCGGGTCAAGGTGGGCGACTTCGGCCTCGTCACCGCCATGAGCGATACTTCGCAGGATGGAGAGACGCCCGACGCCCCCGACGTGTATCAGAGACATACGTACCAAGTTGGTAAGACTACTTCATCATCATCCTCAGCCTATCGCCGTCCACTTCTTGTTGTCCACACACTCACGTCTTGAAGACATCGCTTTGAACAATAACAAAATAGTGTCAATTATTATTTCTAATGTTGTTTATGATTTTTTCTACAAATGTGTTCATCATCATCAACAGCCTTTAATAAACCACTGCTCGACGTAGGCCACTCCTTAAAAATTAAGTATTGGCCTACTATACCTGGCACAGCAGATTGGTTTAGGGTTTTTTTCAATATTTCCTTCTCTTTGCCGTGCTATTGGCCCGCCTAGTTTGTTCCCTTAGTCGACATTTACGACACCCATGGGATGAATAGAGATGACACTCCATATTCTTAATCCGTCACTACACAGATACAAACCTGTTCACACATGTTTATCTATGCCGTAACATAGTCTTCTCCAGCATTGAGTCACTTCCACTAAGATTAAAGTTTAAGCCCCTACCTATTCGTCATGATTATATACAGGTACTCATCTGTACATGTCCCCTGAACAACTGCTGGGTCGTCCGTACAGCTACAAGGTGGACATCTTTTCCCTGGGACTGATCCTGTTCGAGTTGCTGCAACCGTTCGGTACGGAGTCTGAACGGATCACGTGCTTACAGAGACTCAGAAATGGACACTATCCACAAGACTTTCAGAAGCAATATCCACATGAGGTATGTTTTATTTTAAAGTTGTTAAAATTGATACATGGTTATTTGCACGCATGAGAGTGCTCAAGCAAATAGGGTAGTTGACTGTACCATAAATAAATAATTATGTCCCCTTCATCAAAACAAATTTCACAAAACATCTCGGGAAATATAATTATTTTTATAACTATTACAAATTTAAATCAAATAAACATTGAAATATATTCTTACAATATATAATATATATAATACAATATTTTCACACCCTACTGAATGCATGATGAATTATGCACTAATTGATTGAACAAAAATTAAAAAAAAATCTTAATTGTAAAATTTCTGATTTTTAACTGTTCCTTGGTACCAGATTATTACACCTTTCAAAAAAAAAATGCTCTAGTGTTATAAGTTATACCGTGCTTAAATTTTCTTAAGTGTGTGTTGATCTATGACTTTAGACTCTACATAAAAGACGATTTCAAACAATTTTAAATTTTGAATAAAATAAAGATAGTTTGACTTTGACTTAGAGTTAGAAGCTTGATTCTACATGAGATCTGATACCTTTTTGGCGGTGCGAGCCATATGGTGACGTCTTGGCAACATTTTATATGAAAATATGTTTTGGTGGGATACTTTGTCTAAAATTGTTTAATTAAGACGATATTTGTTTTCCAGACTGATGTTCTGAAGCTGATGCTAAGTGAGGAGCCGTCGAAGCGCCCCACGGCCACAGGAGTACGGGCGCGCGCCCCCCTCTACCAACTCACCGATACCAAGTACCACTTCACGTTGCCTCTCATGATTGCGGCATAAACTCACCCTATACAATACTTCTGTCAGTGAGGTCAAAGGTGCGTTAACAGGAAGACTAGGAAGCGCTGGAGTTGGCCGTCAGATGCTAAGTGAGACGTCAGAAAACATTTTTATGACGTTTTTTTCATGGAATTAGTGACTGACTGTTTGATGCAGTATTTTTAATTCAAATTATAATTAGTGATGTAAATCTACGACGCTTACGGCACTATGTTAATTAAACTCCCCAGTGAAGTTAAATACTTTTTGTACATAAAAAAACTACATGATGTGTAATCTAATAATCTTGGGTTGCTTTAACAAAGTACTGCAAATAAGTCATCACACTAAATGTACGTTTGTATTATTGCGGCCATTGATGCTGAAACTTAGAATTAAGTTGTAAGCCTGAAGGCCAATTCTCGTAATAAAAGTTCGGTCAAAATTCAGTTCCGACCACCTTTCGATCACACAACTGACATAAAAGGTATTTTCGTAGTAACATCCAACGTTGACTATAATGTCTTAGTAATACTTTATTATTTTAAAACGAATCTGGACCGCATCTAACGAAGAGCGACTCGAATCGTCGATAGCCCAAACATCTCTGATCAGCTCGATCGGAGACGTTTGGGCTATGGAGATGTGGCTTCACTCTGCATTCTCTATCGCTTATATCAAGGAGAGTGCTCCGAGGAATTGTTCGGACTAATGCCGGCCGAAACTTTCCGCCATCCGTTCCACACGGCAAAATTTTCATCCTCTTCACCTGGATAGTTGGCGCTCCACTACTGTGCGCTTTATGAGACACTTTTTGCCCCGCACAAACAATCTGTGGAACGGGCTATCGTCTGCAGTATTTCCGGGCTGATACGACCTTCAAACCTTCAAGAGAAGAGCGTACTCCTTCCTAAAAGGCCGGCAACGCGTTTGTGACTCCTGAGTTGTAGACGTTCATGGGCGGCGATGGTCACTTTACATCAGGTGGCCCGAGTGCTCGTTTATTCCCTCTAACACAAAAAAAAAACTAAATTTCCCTGTTACGACAGTTGCGAAATCGAAAGTTGATCGGAAATGTAATGTGACTGAACTTTTATTACGAGAATTGGCCTTCTGGACTAATGTAATTGTCGTTGTTTTTTTCAATATTACACCAAAACTACTGGACCTATTTCAGTTCTCTAAACAGTGTAAACTAAAATGCATTGAATATATTTTTCACTTTAGATTAAAGTTAGGATTTGTAAACAATGTGTAACAAGCTTGAAGAGACAATTGCTTATATAGGTCAAATTTAGTTCGCGAAATCCCTTCAAGTCACTTAATCCAAGTTTTTAAGCTTATTTGGCCTTGGCCGATTTTTCAGTCAGAAGTTCATCTTTAGGTTAAGTTTATAGTCAAACATAAAATTCTAATACCAAAAAACTTTATATACAAGAACCGTTTCGTGTTGTCAGAGACCTTTATGTGATCAGTGAGGTGAGAGAATTACAGATTCCATTAAGTACATCGTTTACAATAAATCATATTTTTTATTTTATGTTACCGGTGTTAAACAATTCTTTTTGCCTTTCACTGAGTGAGTGAGGTTCCACTCTCCCGCTGACTCGAGCGGGAGGGACTCCAAGGGCAGCAACGCACTTGTGACTTTTGAGTTGAAGGTGTCCATGGGCGGCGGTAGTTGCTTACCATCAGGTGACCCGTCTGCTCGTTTGCCCCCTTATACCATAAAAAAATGTGACCATCCTATGTTTATAATTTTGTACTCAGTATAAATACTGGTAACTTTGAAATATTAAAATTTAAATATATATTTAAATAAGTGTTGTCTGAAAATAAAGGTAGAAAAATTATACCACTTTGTTAAGAATCTAAATATTATTATTTTTCAGCAGCAGTTTCAGTCAAACATTGCAACAAAAAAAATAACAAAACGTATTTTAAGAATGTGAATCTTTCTTTCTCATACGTTTTACTTCAAATTATCATTTATTTAGTCTTATAAATCACATTTAAAAGACAACTGTGTTTCAGTTGTGCACTTTTCAAAATGTTTGACCTAACATGTAAAAATATCTTAGCAAAGTATTTAACATGGATAATTATTAGACTTGCAACGAATATTCGGTTACTATTCGGTATTCGGCCTATTCGGCTGCTTTTATTATATTCGGCCGAATACCGAATATCTACATATTATTCGGCCGAATACCGAATACTTAAATAATATATTTTGTCTTGAGAAATAATTGGTAAAATGAAAAATTAAAATCGATTGATTACGTATATATTCATATTTTCATTTCTGTTAAAATCATTTAAGTAGTCATTGGTGCATAACACAGGTACATAATCATCTTCTGAATAGGAAAAATGGAGGATTCTATGTATTTGAATTATTGTGGTAATCAAAATTTAGAAGGGTAAGGTTCATTTCTTTTATAATCATTTATTAAGTAGTCATTGGTACATAAAACAGGTACATAATTTAATTCACGTCTGTACAAGTTTTTGGCGCTAAAATCCAGCCGAATACTTTTGCCTAATATTCGGCTATTCGGTCAGGGGCCTCGCCGAATATTCGGTATACTGCCGAATATACTATTCGTTGCAAGTCTAATAATTATACATATTATCTTGCATCTGATATACCTGTAATGTAATTCATAAACCAATTGTACAAGTGAATACGAAAAACCTCTATGTAGAAATAGGGACATAATGGTAACACAGTTGTTTAACAGCAACAAAGTTAATTCAATGGAACATTCTCTTTTACAAAAGATTGCTAATCAGTCTCTTAGTTACAACAAAGGTTGAAGACAATAATTTAATTATAATTACTAATATCTTATACACAGGCTACTTTTAATTAAAAAATAATTATAATTATTTATATTTACGTTTTGATTATTCTCAATATTTAAAACGTAAAGTAAAATTTCAAAATAAAAACAATAAATATTTCAAAAATCTTTCACTAACTCTAATTTAAAATTATAAAAAAATACTTTATATAATTTTTTTTACATTATTATATGTACATATTTAAAAAGTTAGTTTTATAACTTTTTATGAATCAAGTTCTTGCCCGAACAATTTATGTTTTCACCACAAACATTGACACTGTATACTTTTGTCTGTGGTAAGAAATACTTTCTCAGGGTCCGATATTCCCCAAGTTTAAAGTAATGTATTTCTTCCTTTTATGCATTTACTAGTATTTTTATTGTATCCAGATATTTTTTTATTAGAAGAGAGATACTGAAGATTATATATATATTATATATATATTTCGTAAAATAAGAAAACTATACTTGTATCTATAAAATAAGGAATTAATCATTTTCAACAAGATGTTTTGAAAGTTTAATTATTACATTTCTTCAGTAGAGACTATCGATACAAAACTTTTTGTGAGTGATAAGGCATGCTGGCAATCTAAATCATGACGGAAATTTAATTTCTTTCATGATAGTGACTTATTAACATTAATTATAATTATAGACCTATTTAAGTTTTAACTTTCTCGCTCAGAGGTATATGATTACAATAAAGGGATTTGAGTGACTTTTGCGGAGAGGTTACACTGACTGACTGGTCATTGTCAGTCTGACTACGATGTGTCTCAAAGCTATTACCGTTAATATAACCGTATCAATGATAATTATTAAATCATCAATCATCATCAACAGCCTTAACTAGTCCACTGCTGGACATAGGCCTCTCCTTAGAAAGGAGGTTTTGGCCTACTATTAATTAACTTAATTATTAAGTATTAGTATAAAATAGCTCATGGTACTTGGCCGGTAGGGGCCTTAAACCCTGTGAAAAAGGCCAACAGTGGAGTATATGGCACTGAATTTATTTCAAAGAATGCAAGTAAGACTGTTGTTTCGTATTTATGGATTGTATTTATTTATGTCGGTTAAAGTCAGGTTGCAAGATTTATAATATTAAGATATAAAATCATCAACAGCCTATAATAGTCCACTGCTGGACATAGGCCTCTCCTTAGAAAGGAGGTTATGGCCTACTATAAGATATAAAATTGCAAAAAAATGTAGGAAAATGAAAATTGTAAGGGTTAACACCAATGGATTTATTACTTAATAGGATGCATGCATAATAGTTATTAAATTTAAATATGGAATGTTAACAGTCACTGTTTGTAAGTTTTTTTCTTACTTTTAGTTTTTTTCTAGTGTCAACTAATATCTGGTATATTCAATGGTAACTCATCGTCATTGTAATCAATGTCCAAAATTGTATGCATTACTTTAGGTATATCTAAAAACGATTAATCTTGATGATAAATCGGTAGCCATACTTGTCACCACACTTTTTTGTCTGATCAATCACATGTGTGTTGTAAAAACTGCCTTTTTTATTTAATTTGTTTACTGTAATCACAAGTCATATGAGTCAGTCAATATTTCCATTGTTCTACTGACTGTAGCTAATCTATGCTATTCCTTTGTTAGCGTTATGGATTGTAGAGGTAAGGAGAACCATCTCTGTATACGAAAAGTGTCCTTCAAATGCGTTAAATTGGGGGCGCTACAGTATTATAAAGACAAAATTTTAAAGAAAGCGCCAAAGTTATTAGAATATGATAGAGAAAGAAACATTGAAAGAAAACATTATGTAAAACTTTTGTATGATCAAACAATAATAAGACACTGTACTAAACTACGAAAATAGTCAATGAGTTTTATCAATATGATTTTCACGTATACAGTCACTCATCACGATATCTCGGGAACCATTATAGCTAAAGACTTGAAATTTGGTAAGAATATTCTTTTCACCGAGTAGAGGTCAGCTAAGAATTTTAAGAAGCGGATTTTAAGAAATTAAAAAAAAAAAAATTTTAAATAATGAAAATAGCAAAACGTTTGCAGGGTCAGCTAGTAGACAATAAATAAATGCTTATACAACTTTCAGACAACAAAGGTATTTTAATATTTTAACTCAGCAAACTTCACTCTGCCTATAACTTTTAAGTCCTTTTGGCTATACTAGCGCATTCTGGACGGTTTAAGAACTATTATTTACTGTTTATAGCTGGACACTTCTTCAACTTTCCCCCTATATGAGAAGATTCTCCTTACCCCTACCCTCCATAATTAGCATATTAACTTATGCATCATCTAGCTAGCGAGAAGAGAAATCTTTATTTATTTATTTATTTTATTTATTTATTTTCTTTAAAAACAACTATTTTTACAACTATTTTATCTTAAACACATTAACTCATAATGTTCGTAATAATACACATTTTATATTAGAAAGCAGATCTGACCATGGGAGAGCTATTCTTCGGTCCAAAAGAAATGTGTATTAATATTTTTTATTTTTGCTTTTCATTAAGGGAGTGTGTAAAGTTTACCGGAGCTCAACCCCCCCGTCACCCTTGAAACCGGAGTCCCTTCGACCTTGTCTATTGGCGACAATATTCACTTGCCGTACGGTGACTTCTGCTCGCTTGCCGCTCTAAATCAATAGCCCGGCTGTTTAATGCAACTATTTTGGGTGTTAATTTTTTTTATACATCACTAGGTCTACAATAAATGCTGATTTTCTTTAGTTGTAATATTATTTGTAATACGACCCAGTGGTTTTGTTAGTAACTATTTATAATAGTGTATATAATGTATAAATTGTCATTTAGTGTGCTTAAATAATAAATGATTTCAAATAATTTTCTTGTTTTATTTAGAAAACCATGATAAATACTAAGAGGTGGGACCTCGAGACGAAGTATAGTTAATTTGTTATCAATTAATGAGTGCAAATTACAATGAACGATACTGTCGTTCTTCCCTCTATTTGTTTATCAGGTTACTGATGTAATAACTAGTAAAAGACACCTTCGAATAAGGGCGTTCAGGCCAGAAGGTTTATATATCTTAAAAACCAATAAAGCATTTACTTATTTAATTTTTTTCCTATAATCCTATTTATTTTCAGATGCGTCCGCCGCCAATGGACTTTAAAAAAAAGTAAGGTAAAGGCGTCAAAATAAATACAACATTAAAACCATATTTAATATATTTATAAATTAACTGTCAGCTTTTACAATAAAACATCTATATATACAAAGATACAAGATACATTAATATTTAATCACATTCATAATACTTCATTTAATACTTAATATAGTCATACAATTATTAGTGATGTGTTGTCACATAACATAATTACACAATGCATAAATATAAAATAGAAACGGTGGTCCCAAAAACGTTAAAAATATAATACAAACACAACGTTGTTGGCTTTTTTTGTGAAAGTAGATAAATAATAAATTAGAATAAACCTGCAACAAACAGCCCCATAGATTTTTTCGATATCAACGACAATATTGATATTTACATTCAATTCTAATTCATTTTATATATTTTTTTGTGATACCAATACATGAATTTTAATTTAGTAATATATTTTAAGCTATAAAGTAAATAACACCTATGTTTTATGTATCACAGAAAAATAGAATCTTTTCAAGACTATTAAATGTGTTTCATGTTACGTGTATGACATAACAAGTTATAGTTGTGACTGGCCTGATGGGCTATTGACCAGGAATCGTTGGATGGATTTCCTTCCGAGACAAATAATTGTGTGATGAGCACGATCATTTGTCTGTCTAGGTGTAACTTTTAGTAATATAGTCTTATTTTTTAAACACATTTATATATATTTAATTTTTCTATGATGTTGATAGATATAAAGTACCTTGCATTAGAATGTTATTATTTTTGTGAAATTAAAATTAAATAATTACGATTTTATCTAAGCATATTATTAACAACAATTTTAACAAATAAAAAATTATACTACTTATCCCAAATATCGTTTATAATGCATCACTGACCTATCCAACAAATTAAAAAAAATACCAATGTGTCAGTTAATAGTTATACACTACAATTAGTAGTAAATATTGTCTATTGGTCAATTCCATTACGATTAATACGATTACAATACAAACATACAAAGTTATCACATGTGAAGAAACATAAAACAATATTGATCAGAGAGTATAACACTAAGTTATCTAGTTCAAACCCAAAGGCCGCATGACTAATCCACTGTGCCGCACTTATCTCTACACCTACCTATATATGTATTTCCTTTAGTAATTAAAATCGATTGGTAGTGTTCTTGATGACGCATGGATAACATGACTACGCAATGGCGGCGTCGTAAACACCGCTGTGTGGAGTCCGTTCGGTGTTAGTATATTCTTGGGACTACACTGTTAAGTGACACTTAACTTAGTAACGTTTAACAGGGTTAATAAACGCCAGGATTTGTCGTGACGTATTAGTTTTTTAGGCTATTATTCGAAATTTGACTTTATTTTCTATATATTAGAATATTGAATAAAAATTTAAGGCTGATATTTTTTTTTTTTTATTTACGGATATGACGACACTTTTTACCTTTCAAGATAGCAAAGGAGTTAACAACGGTTTTTCGTAGACTTTTTGGTAGAAATCAGGGTTATAGCTGTTTTTTGTAATATTTTACTTTTGTTTAATAAAAGAAATAAACACCAAGTATTTAATCACCGTGACAATTCATTAAACAATACAACAAGGAAAACTAACTCCTTATGTGTTATCTAACGCACTTTCAGCGGTCAAGCTAAATGTTTGATTGCTGTTTCGAATACTTTCGCAAATAGTTGATTCTATTGATTTGATTTATGAAAATTAACTTCAGAAAAATGGTAACACCCGAGATTTTATCCTTTAATATTTATCCCTACAAATTTACAGTAAAAAATCCTTTTTTAAGTAGGTTCAAAATTCCTAGCGTTTTTAAAATCATTCTTTGTCATTAAATTATATTGAGGCTGAGGTTTATCCTTGACTGTACTCTATTGTAGGTGTTAAAAAAATAGGTTATTTTTAGGGTATTTTATTTTAATATAAAGATGGATAGCAAAATTAATACGACACGTTTCTTTATTTTACTGGAAGTAGTTTATTTAATGTGTAGTCTTATTAATAGTATAAACAGACCTGACTCACTCCTGTTGTAAAGCTACACTCGATAGTAACATACATAATACTGATGTTGATTTAGCGCTATTGATGTCAGAAAACTCTTAAGAAGTCTATAGGTAGGTATATACTCGTATGTAAAAATACCAGCAACGCGGTGACGTGATAATTACACAGGTATTTATAGATTAAGTGCCTAGTTCTAGTGTTTTACATAATTACACTGGAGTTATCTATGTTTCGTATACATATAATTCAAAAAGCATCACCTTGAGTCAACGTTTCAAGTTCGTTTCGTTATTTTCAACAATATTCATGCGGCCCATGGGTATCTAAATATCGGTAGATCGCACAAAAATATCGCTTAGCGAAGTGAAGTACTTTATTTAAAAGCATACATCATAATTCTTACAATTAAAATCCTATCGTCAACTCTTATTAAAGCTGTGGCTTGTATTATTGTTCTGTAGAAAACTGGGTGTCTTACCTTCTTTCACTATCCTAAGAGCTTGCAAAACCCTGGCCGTATCAAGTTCCTTTTCAGATGCCTTTTCGTTATCTAAACATATCTCTGTCATTCTACCATTGAACTGCTCTATCACCTTCACTCTATAATCTATGGACGACGCTACGGGATTGGCCGTCAACCATAGATATTCCAAACACGGCAATCGACATATATGTTGTACTTCCTCCACATCAGAAATAACATTACAACTTAAATCGAGACTCTCCAAAGAGTATAACCTTGAGAACCCTTGCAGACCCTCGACTTTGTTCTGTGATAGGTCTATTTTAACTATGTTACCAATCTTGGCGTGCCAGTTGTCACAGATAGAGAAGCTGTTCATGGATAGGTTGAGCACCCTTAGGTCATGCAGACAGGATATGTCGCACAGTTCCCGCAGTTTGTTTGACGACAAATTTAATTGTTGCAGGCGAGGTACGAGGCGAATGGCCCAGTCCACGTTTTGTGTGTTGTTGCTTGAGAAGTTTATAAGCGACAGTTTTTTCCATTTCTGTTGACAAAAGAGAGATGTTAGGGTTAAAATAAATAAATGAATAAAAACCTTAATTCAAAAATACTTGTTTATTAGTTATTATTAAAGATTACTATCAGACAAGGTCCGCTAGAACGGCACTAAACATGACCTAAGCATAATGTGAAACACCTTTTTTTTTTTTTTTTTTTTTTTTCCGTGCGGAAATCCCCTCGGATACCACCTGTCGGTGGCATGTCGGACTCGAACCGACTAAAACCGCACGCCTTCGCCGGGTACTAATAGCCGGGGAACCAGGTATACCCTAGAAAGGAAGGCCCTGGTGCCCCGACATACCTCGGGTCATCTACAGACGAGTAGACGACCCCCGCCCCGTGTGGGAACCCCATGTTCCCTGTGCTCCCTGGAAGCGAGCCCGCTTCGCAACGCGCTCGCCGCCACCCCGGCCTGCTTCTGCTAGGGTGACAGATGGCCTCACCTGTCACCCCCAGGCCTGCGCTTATGGAGGACGGAGGTCGTTCTGCGACCTCCGGCGCCTGAGTCGCCTGCGCTGCCTGGCCCGTGCCCGGGCCTGGCGGGCCGGGAGAGTTCTAAACCTCTCCCGGTCCCGCTCCGCCGTCTCCTTCGCGAGCATAACTTGCTCGCAGAAGGAGACGGCAGAGTTCCACGCACTCTCGCTCCGCACGATAGCCGCAATCAGGCTATCGAGCGAGAGAACTCGCGGCTCCTTGCGGATCAGACACAGGTGATCTCCGAAACATACCTTCCCAGTGATCACCTGCGTCAATCGGTATGAGAGGGTCCCGTGACGCCTCTCGAGCCAATCCTCCATAACGGGTCTTACCGCCGCAATGACGGCGTGCCCAGCGCTCGGTTGCCCGAGTCGTTCCCTCCACTCCCCTATGATGACCTGGCGGAGTTGGGATTTCCGGTCATCGATTTCTCGAATCTCGGGGCATCGACCCAACTCCTGCGCCTCCTTGCGCCACTGATACAGTGCCGCAAGGGCTCTCGCCTCCAGGTCCCACGGTGGAGTTCCGGCCAGGAGACTCGCTGCCTCAAAGGAGATCGTGCGGTACCCCCTTATGATCCTGATGGCCAGCATTCGCTGCGGTCGTCGCAGTATCGCGACGTTGCTGGCCTTCAGGGCCCCCGCCCATACCGGGCACCCGTAAAGGGCCATGGACCGCACAACCCCCGAGTAGAGTCTCCTGCAGGAGTCATCGGGTCCCTTCATGTTGGGCAGCAGCCGCGCCAACGCACGCGCTGCCCCAACCAACTTGGGGACCAGACCTCGGAAATGATATCCGAAGTCCCATCGGCCATCGAGTACGAGCCCCAGATACCTGATCGAGGGCTCGATGCCGATGCGAGTGTCTCCTACCGTGAGGCTAGATCCCTCAGGCGGCTTCCTCCGAAGCCCGTGGAAGAACAGGGCCTCGGACTTGTGCAGAGCCACCTCGAGACCCAGCCGCCGGATACGCTCAACGACTTGGGCAACCCCGGCCGTGGCCCTCAGGGTTGCCTCGTGGTGCGTCTTGCCGCGCGCCGTCACGAGTGTGTCGTCCGCGTAGCACACGACGGCGACACCATCCAAGAAGGCACCACGAAGCACCCAGTCGTACCCGATGTTCCACAAGAGTGGCCCTAACACCGACCCCTGCGGAACACCGCACGACATTTCACGCCTACCGAGACCGGTCCTACTGGGGTAGACGACGGCTCTCTCCGACAAATATGCCCCGACTATGCGGCGGAGGTAGAGAGGCACTTCGTGATACACGAGCGCCTCCCTGATGCAGCTCCAGGGCATAGTGTTGAACGCGTTGGCGATATCCAAGGACACCGCCAACACCACTTCACCCCGGGAGACTGCTTCCTCCGCCAGAGCCTTCACGCGCATGATCGCATCCACGGTGGAGCGCCCCTGACGGAAACCGTACTGGTTGTCCGCCAGATCCGGCCCAACCATCACGAGATGCTTGACGAGGCGCCTTGCAATCACTCTTTCAAAGAGCTTGCACACCTCGTCAAGCAACACTATGGGCCGGTAGGCGGACGGTGAGTCCGCCGGGCGCCCCTCCTTTCGGATGAGGACCAGTTTCCCCGTCCTCCACAATTTCGGAAACTGGCCCCGCTCGAGGCATGCGCTGAAGAACCCTCGCAGTCGGGGCTCGAGAGCCTCGTCGACTAAGGCCAGGACCCACGCTCGGCCAGGAATGCCATCGGGTCCCGGGGCGGTGTTTTTGGCTTTAAGCCGTAACACCGCCACCCTTAGTTCCACCCCAGTGACCTCAGGCACGTCGTCGTCATCCACGTTAGGCGCCTCAAGCGCCGGAGGCGGAGCCATCTGTGGTGGAGTATGCTCCACCACTCGCGTTGGGAACAGGGAGCCAACGACCCTCTCAAGCAGCTCTGGCTGAAGACACCGTGTGAGCGGCGGGGCCCATGGGCGCATCTTGCCCCTAACCATACGGTAGGGGCGTCCCCACGGATCCCGCTCCAGTGTCTCCAGCATCTCCCGGCGGGCCTCGCTCTTGGCCCGCTTTATCGCTGCCTGAAGGGCCCTCTTGGCAACCCTGTAACCCGCTAACAGCTCCGCCTCTCTCGCTGCCGCATCTTCGGGGCGGCGACGCCCCCTGCGGAACCTGGACCACCGGCGGCGCGCGGTCACGCAGGCTTGACGCAGCCGTGCGATCTCCGGCGACCACCAGTAGACCTGGCGCCTTGCAGTATTGGGCTGAGCCCTAGGCATCGCCGCATCGCAGACGCGGGTCATGGCCTCCCGGAACCACTGTGCCTCAGCATCGACGTCGACAGGCCTGTCCGGCGCAGGAGCCCAGGCCTGTACGATGGCGGCTTCCAGGAGGAGGTCGCGATCTAAGCGCTTGAGCGCCCAACGTGGTTCAGGTGGTGCCGGTCTGACCGGCGCGCCATCTGTAGGGGCGGAGACGTCAAACCGAATATATCGGTGATCCGAACCTGTCTCCTCCCCGACAACGACGCGCCAGTCTTGGACACGACGCGCTAGCGAGGGGCATGCGAACGAGATGTCCACAATCGAACTACCCCTCGCCGTCACGAACGTGGCCACGGCCCCCCGGTTTAGGAGAACTAGGCCGAATCTTTCAGCCCAGTTCTCCAATGCCCTGCCCCTCGGGTTCGTGCGCAGGGAACCCCAAGCCTGCGACCAGGCGTTGAAGTCCCCCAGCACAAGAACCGGGTGGGGGCGACAGGCATCGACGACGACGGCCAGCTGAGCGAGCCATTGCTCGTACTCAGTTAGGTTTCGGTTCGGCGTGAAATAAGCGGCCACGACCGCTATATCTCCAACTATCGCCGCTACACAGCCCCGTCCCCTTGCAACTACTGCAAGAGGTGGAGTGCCGGCTGCGGTACCGTGCACCAGGGCCGCCGTGCCGTCCAAGTCGGTCTCCCAGGCAGGCCCGAGAAACCGATGGACATATGGCTCGGCGATAGCGGCGATGTTGATGGACCACTGTGCCATGCTCTGGAGCAGAAGATCCTGAGCATCGGCACCGTGGCCTACGTTCACCTGGAGGATGCGGAGATGTGGATCCATCACTGGACTTCCATCCCCGCATCCCGCAGCGAACTTTGCGGCTGTCAATGTGAAACACCTATCTCAACAGATACTATCAAGTTTTGATTACTTGTAAGTTGATATACAATTTGTACAAGCTGAATATTGCAAAAAGCTATTGAAAATAGTATATTAGGAGTTTGCCCATAAGTCTTAGAAACATATACATTTATTACTTTTTACAAAATTCTAATAATAAAAATAAGAAAACTCGCATGTTTCGATAATTATATTATATTCTCATTTTATAAGCCCCATCTATACTAATATTATACAAAAGAGTTTGTTTGTATGTTTGGTTGAACGCGCCAATGTCAGCAACTACTGGGTCGAATTGAAAAGTTCTTTTAGTGTTTGATAGCCCATTTATCAAACAGCGGGCCGCCAGAGAGTGGGGACCTCTGGTGGCAGATTAATTGCTGCGGTAGGGGATAGGATGGCGGATTGATCACCCAAAAAATGTGATCGGACCGCAACATTTATTCATAGGCTGATAGTAGATAGGATATATCCTGTGTCGCGGGGGACTTTACAAAGATACATTAATCGGACACAAAGAACACCCAGTCTCAGTACAACAATTTGTGAATCACACAAAGTGTTGTCCCATGTGGGGATCAGACCCACAACACTCAGCGCACTAGGAAGCGGTGAGGTGACCGCTTAAACTACTACCGCACCCGTGCAGTCATGTCCTAGAAATCGCCGCTTAAGACTAGTTATAGCTTGTCTCACGTAAGCAAAGATCACAGCTGTCAAAATCTATAACTGAGTAAAGATTTAGACGTAAACATCGTTCTAAAATAAGTTCACTTGAGTATGGATCGGTGAATCTCATTTTAAGTGACGTTCACTAATAAAATGTCTACTTAAAATTTGTTTTAAGACTAAATTCACGACTGAGACACTTTTTTAAATACTTAAACCACCAGTGCAATCTACCAGTTAAAATGGCGGTTTAGATAATAACAAAATATTTACGATACAACAAAATATATCACATGTGTGTGTACAAAAGGTTACTGCGCAGCGATGACCCAGATTGCGGTCGTAGATACTCATTGTCTGGCCTCAATACTACTGCGGTCGTTTGGGTTTTACTTAGATAAACAAAAATGAACTCTAATATGACAATTTTTTCATGATCCGATTAACATAATCCGGTTTCGGGATTAACTGTAAACTCCTAGGATAAACCTTCTATGACCCTTACATATTAAGGATGATCTAAATGCAATAAGAGAATGCGTTTTTAATTGTTATAGTCTGCCTTTATCTAGTAGAAGGTCAGTCCATAAATTACTTTACTTTTTCATGACTTTTTGACCCTTTTCTCGTCTTTATCAAAGGTCACACACCTTCCCTGGTGTGATGTCACATATTTATACCCAAAACAGTAGTTTTAAAACTACGATTTTTAAAATAGAAGTAGTAGTGTGTAGTTTTAAAATTTTCAGCTACAGGTAATTTTGCCCAGTGATATCGTTTAATAAATAGCCCCTCTACCACTTTCCCTCTACGATGACGCCGTCCACCCAAATGTGTAACGTAAATTATCGATAACCCCCAAAATATAGTATTCAAATCAGGATCCTGATGAAGCTCAATCAATTCGCCACTAATTATTACTATTATAAGGCATCATTATCTACCTTTAAACGAGCAATTCTTGTATTTACGAGTATATATAATCTGAATCTCGGAAACGGCGCCAACGATTTTCATGAAATTTAGTATGCAGGGGGTTTTGGGAGCGATTAATCGATCTAGCTAGGTTTATTTTTTAGAAAATTTACCAAAAAAAAATACCGAGCAAAGGTTGGTCATCCAGGTACTGTAAGATAATCAAGAATATTATGGTTTATACAGCTTTATTTAAACAGTTTTGTTACACATTTACTTGAAAATTGTAGTTCTTTCATAAAACTGTCCTTTTTTCATGTCATAATCTCAAGTCACTTCTACATTCCATTGTCAATCGAGTTTACATTCATCAAATATTAAATACTTTTTGCAGTAATACTTCAGCAAAAACCATTACAAAAATTAAAAAAACATTTTTATATAAAAATAAACACATATTCCCCTATCTTACATCAGAGCCCAAAATCGATCTAAGTGGTTTGCAATAGGAGTGGCCTATGTCCAGCAGTGGACTGCGATAGGCTGATGATGATGGTGATGAGGCGGATTAAGTATAAAGAGCGCCCTAGGCAAGAATCTCATCGGCGTCTCCCGCATCTCTCTATCGCCCTTGATATATTCTTAATACTCGTAGCTATTATATACTCCAAATTTTAGTTGGCATTTCTTTACTACAACTTTTTTATTTTATTATTTACGTGTAGAAGCCCCCATGGGCCCCATTGGTTCACCGATATTATCGCTGCTCCTGATTCATTAAGAACGACGAGTACACTTCCGAGCAAATTAATATGGTCTTTCTTTTTTTTATTCATAACTTAATCATTTCTACTGTCGCTATTCATCAATTGAATTTTCTGGTAGTTAAAAATTGAGATTTTTATGCGAGTGTTGTTTTTACAATTACCTTATTTTATAAATCAGGTCAGAATAAGGACATATTTATGTATATTTAATGTAATAAAACAGATAAACTGATTGACTTGACGCCACGTGCTGTGGCGTGTGGCGAGGTCGAGAGATAATAATTGGCTTACAATATAAATGAATGAATATGTATGATGCATAATGTATTTGTATAATCATCGCACAAAATTTAATTTACAGCTGTTTACATTGAAAAAAATTAACAAGTCTTTTACTGGTAATTTTACTAAACGGGTTCCGGGTTCAAAAGCCCAGAAATATTGATCATTTAAAGTTTGTTTTATTAGTATAAGTTCTACATTTTTTGGTTGACTTTACTTTCCGAAGACATGACAAGACATGTTTATAAAAAATAACCACCAAAATACTGTTCAAAAATAATGATTGTATCTATAGTTCGATTCCGAAAACGCGGAACTGGTCCCCAAAGCTTCACGACCCTAATTACGGATTAATTATTCACCCGAGTAAAGAAAAGACATTCCGAGAGTCAGCATTATAACTATTTTCAAGTAGAATGTTGAACAAAAACACCTCAACAAATTCAATGTCTGTTCTGAAGGTCAATTCTCGTAATGAAAGTTTTGTCAAAATTCAGTTCCGATCCACTTTCGATCTCACAAACGTCATAAAAGGTATTTTCGTAGTATTTTTTTTATATTGAACATCCAACGTTGATATCGTATTGTGACCGCAAGTTGAATCGGTAATCTGCTAGTCTTAGTAATACTTTACTATTTTTCTTCTGAACTCTTCTTACTTATATCTATAGAAGTTAATTACAATAGCAGCTGCAATTACGACTGGGGGATAGTTTTAGAACGTACCTATTGTTCTATTGTTGTATTAAGTGATAGAGGTCGATGGTAATCGTGTTTACTAAAATTTAGGGTTTGGCAAATAGTTAATAATGACAAGGAATATAATAATACTTGTTTGAACAATACAAAAAACAAACAAATAGATTTTAATGTATAATGTAATATGGTAATAGATAAAATTTATTTATTTATTTCCTTTAAAAACAACTATTATTACAGGTTTAGCCCAATGCAATAGTGTTATACCATCTACTTATTTATTATAAGAAATAATTCTTAATGCTGTTATTGTGAATTCACTCAGTGAGCAATAAAATAAATCTATTTCATCCGCAATTATATTCAGAGTACATAGTGCGCGCGTCAAGATGTGTAGTGCAGATACCTTTGGTTTGATATTGGCATAACTATTGTTATATTACTGTACCATTTTTTTTTGTTTTTATGTGGAAGTCCACTCGGATACCACCCACCCACAATATAACTTCATGTATTTATTTAACTTTATGCACTCTTGTACATCGGACTTAATGCCCAGGGTATTCTCTTCCAGTCAACCTTTGGGTGGTGTAGAAATCTTGTAAGGTATATCTTATACGTGGCAGTCTGATCCCAAACTAAGCAAAGCCTGTGCTATGGCAAACAGACTGCTGTTACATATTATAGATAAACTACACCCAGACGCAGAACAAATAAACATGTTCATCATACAATTATTTATGCTGTGTGGGAATCGAACCCACAACCTTCAGCTTAGCAGTTAGAATCACTAACCACTGGACCAACAGGCCAATATATATATATATGGTAAGCCTTACATCTATTTCAAGAGAAACAGTTGAGAAATTTACTTTATTTGGAGCTGATCCCAATGCAGTAAAATGTTGCTGACATGACCTAATGAAAATAAACTGTAAATAGATAGCAATAAAGATGAAATTAACTTACAACAGTGTCAGCAATGCTGGAGGGGTCTTTATGCAGGATGTCGACTAATAGAAACTCATTGAGAGACACTACACTTGCAGTGAACACAGATAGACTAACAAGTGTGTCCCGTAGACCTCCTATAACAAACAGAAAATTTTATATTTAAAATAGATTATTTGTCAAATCAAAAAGTTTTAATGTTTTTTGTTACTTCTTATTTTAAATATAAACTCTTACAAATAAAAAAAAAATACAAAAAAAAAACATTAAGAAGGATTTGAAATGAGGAAATATTTATAGGATTAACACTCTTAAACCGTTACAATAAAGTGTTAAATACCTTGACCATGACAATTTACATTAAAAATAGATTTTCAAGTTATTATAACAATAAAATAATGTGTTAGTATTACCAGAAACATTAATATTTGGAGGAAAGTGTATTATTGAATTTGATTTAGATGGAATAAAATAGAAATACTGTTCTGTTTTGATATTCTATGTGCTAAGTTTTTAGTATTTATTAACTAATTTAGAAATTAGAATGCTGTTTTTGTTTTTTTTTTGAGTTTCTTTGTCTTTTTTATTTGTTTAAATGTTAGAACAGAGAATTAAAATATGAACTGATGTATCACTTACCAACACTATGTATGCACCCCATTGGCACACCGAGTATCTTTAAGTCTGTCAGGGACTTAAAAGGGATGAGGTCAAAATGTAAATTGTTTGGTATAATGTTACTTGTACCAAGTTTTTCATAGCTCCCCTCAATGTTTAGTGACTGAATTTGTGAACAGAAATCTAGGATATGGCTGAAGTCATACATCTGGTCTGTCTTTTCAGTCGGTGGACATGCCATTTTTAGACGTTCACTTATTGCATGAAGCTGAAAAAAAATGGTTTGTTATTTGTTTAGTGCAATTTAACAATCATTGGGAATTTGCATCTAAACATTTTTTTTTATGATGCAAATGAGCAGTCAGTTTTTTTATGGCCAAAACCTCCTTTCTAAGGAGAGGCTTATGTCCAGCAGTGGACTATTAAAGGCTGTTGATGATGAGCAGTTGGGTTACCTGATGGCAAGTGACTACCGCTGCCCATGAAGCTCAGAGTTATTTTAGTGTTTAACTTGTATTTTCTAGATTTAAAATAAGATATTTATTTTTACTTATTTTGTTCTTTAAAAATTGATACATATTAGGAAGCTGTACAAAATTGTATTATTTTCTTGACATGATTTTATTCTCCTACCACTTGATAAATTACTATAATTGACGCTTACCTCTACAGGAGTAAAATAATGCGATTTTTCATTTTGTAACAGTTTATCTCCTTCTAAGAAAAGTTTCTTTGCTAAAACTTGTAGCAAAAAAAATATATCATACAAATGGAAGTCTAAGAACTGAGCAAATTGGGACGGCATTGTGAGCCTTAAATAATTAAAAACATTCTTCAAATATTCGCATAGAGCCTCTTTTCTCTGCTCCACAAACTTCGGAGTTTTATTCCGTATAACTTTTTTTGGAGGCAGTAACTCTTTTGCTACGCCATGGTCCGACACTAGTTTTTCATGTAGTTCAACAAAATCACTGTATCGATGTAACACGGTCCACCGAATTGTCCCCACTTTAACAGTTATTTTGTAATAAGTTACATTGTCTTTTGTTGTAGCTTCGTCCACACTAACTGTACTATCCTCGCGATGATTTATAAACGAAGACATTTTCTTTATAATGTGTTTGCTATTATATTCTCGTTCTTATTAGATTATCGCACTCATTTCGTGATTTTATGAACGACTTAAAGGAAATTCCAAATTACTGACGTAACAAAAATATAACTGTAAGTGTGCGACTAGTGCTGCGAGGCTGCGAGGTCCTAGAACGAGTTTTGTATGTCAGTTTGGTTTGTTGTCAAATTGACATGCAGTTGAAGTGTCACACTGACATTAATGAGAACTGTCATATGGTGCACACAATCATTCCAGACCAAGATTAAATAAGACTTATAGCATAGATTCACAAATTCGAAAAAATGTTGGGTTTTAAAATCATAACTTCTAATAATCTATGCTGAATAATGAAATTGATAGACATTGGATAAAAGAACTGACATGTAATAATGAACTTTTTAATTGGTAATGATTATTGACATATTAGACTTGACATCAATGTAAATTATTATTAATATTTTAAACTAACAAAACTATTAAGAATTAATTTTAACAATTATCTTCCTCCGAGCCCTAGTCCCAAACGAGGTTTGGTCGACTTTAAATAAACCATGATGCGGCTGAACTCCGATTCTTTATGGGGAGTGACTGCAATCAGTCCTCCACACCCAAGACTGTTGTCGGGTCCATAATGGCTCCAACCGCGATTGCCACTGTTCATATGGCAACCGGGACCGAAGGGTTAACGTGTTCTCCGAGTCACACATATGTACATACGATAATGTACACATTATGGACCACAGAGTACATTGTAACTTATGGACTTACATAAATCAGATTTCATGGAATGCGTTAGTGACAAAAAAACTTGCCATTTATAATTAATAATTAAGTCCTCAGGTCGTCATTCTAACTATTCGTTCTTTGTTGACATTGACAAATTGTCAAAATTATTTATGTCAGATTCCACTGTATTTATTAGTGCAGTTGTGATAAAATTATATTTTACAAACCAAATATAAAATGCTTAGTTACTTTATTTAGACTTCCTTTCATTTCTTTTAAGGCCTAATTACCTTTGTAATGTATAAACAGCATTGAAGCCTGTACCTGTACTTGCAAAGATGTTAAGCCGTTTTTCGGACGTGCTGCAAACTGCGGCGGACGTTGTAAGATATACAATAATTAATGTTATTGCAATAATTTGTACGTCGGAAGTAAGTCAATATATTTAATTTTGTTTCAGCTGGCTCCTCCGGCTACAAGGCTAGAGGATTTCGAGTACCACTGGAAGATGATTCTTAATTTTTACCAGAATTATGACGATAGTAATAAAATGCATATTGAGGAAACGAGGATTCCGCATCATTTACACCAAATGTTACAGGTACGTGCAGTGTGTTACGTACTTTGTAGATTATTATCTGTTACTCATTTATAACTTTCTAGTTTCTTGCCACCTTGACATTGATATAATAATTTAAAAAAAAGAGCTAATCGGCAACAGTGATTGCATATTGTTTATTTATGTTGCATTTAAACATAGCATAAACATTTTCTAAGATTTTAACCACTTTTTTTGTTGTTTGACTACGTTTGTGATGTGTTATATCTTAGAAGTGATTTTCTGCTAGTGTAGTAACATTTCACATTCTGGCAAAAAGGTTACTTACAAAAGGCTGTTAGACCAGCGTTATAAAAAAATACATTTTAGTGACATGGTTTTCGGGATAGGCCAGTGTCTTTCGGTCATCAAACTGTGTTTGACTTATTTCCCTAACATTATAAAAAAAAAACCTGTAATGTGAGATTTTGTGAGATTTAAAAACAAATCTATTTAAAAATAAATTTAGAAAAAAAAATTTAAAATGAAAGTATACTGCAAAGGTTGCAAAAAAATAAACATTATATTACATAATGTTTACTTTTTTGCAACCAAAGAAGATTATGAAAACAAGTGAGATAATAAAGGATACATTGTTGAATGATGAATGTTTAATCAAAATGAAACTTTAATACCACATATTTATAAACATTTTCTTATGAATCATATATGACTATATTACATTTTACCTTTATCAAAATAAAGATACCTTCTTTACTTAAACTTTCATTAAAATATTACATATTAGGTTTTGCATTCAGCTTCAATAACAATTATAAAGATTTTAGCAATTAACAATTTACTATGTAGTTGGTAATGGTTCTTTGTTCTGGATATAAACCCTCTGTCAATCTCTGTAGTGCTGGTAATGTGCATAATAAGCATTTGAACATACTTTCACATTTCTAATATCAGTAAGAACTATTATGATTACATAATATGGACAATGTTATGTAATTATAATGATTGCAAATAGCAAATCTGTGCAATCAGTTATTATTATGAATGAATATAATAAAAAATTAACTTATGTTTTAATTAGTATTAGTATCAATTTCAATCAAACAAATTTTACACTCAAAAATCATCATCATCAGCCTATCGCAGTCCACTGTTGGACATAGGTCTCTCCCATTGCACTTAACTTAGATCAATTTTGGGCTTCTCGCATCTAGCTCCTGCCAGCCATGTATGCCACTCAAGTAGGCACAAATTAAAAAAATTAGCATAAACAATCAATATTGTATGCTCCAATAAGAATGTACTTCTAGTAGCTAATAGACAGTGATTCTGTATCATAAAATATCTAGACTGCTAAATGTTGAAATAAAAAATGTTGACAATATGATGTAAAACTGATTTCCTAATTGTATAGGTTTGTAATTATCTCTATCTGATTATGTCACTTGACAATCTATTGTCATGTGTTTCCATTACTTATGAGTAATTTATTAACTGGGTAAATGAATTTTCAAAACAAATTTTTACCTTTTACTTAGAGCGAATGACAATATTAAAATTTGGCAACTTGAACCTAATCTGACTAGTGCAACTGATCAGTGGAACTCTTTAGTAGTTCTTACCAACTACTAGTTGTGGGAGATTGACATTATCTATATCTGCATTCTATGTCATTACTTTTTGTCAGATTCTGAATGAATCTTTTATATTATACAAAATAAAATTAAATTGTTCATATGGTAGTTTCATGTGACAGATTAAAAATACAGAGTGCAACCACCCCTATTCATCCTTGGGTGTCGTAAGAGTTGACTAAGGGAGCAAACTATGCAGGACAACAGCACTGTAAAGAGAAGGAAATCTTAAACCCTATAAGGTTTGTTTCACCAGTGTCCACGTCCGGTCAGCATGTTATTTAGTAGGCCATAACCTCCTTTCTAAGTAGAGACCTATGTCCAGTAGTGAACTATTAAAGACTGCTGATGATGATGATTTTGTTCGTAAAATTATAAATTTATTTTGGTAAAATTAAATATAACAAATATATTTAATGCAATTAAATATTAATTTATTTTTTTGTTAAATTATTATTTAAAAAAACAAACAATGCAAGTTAACACATGTTTTGTTACTAATTGTGTTAAACTCTTAATTACTTTTAATTGGGTTCTCTTAACTCTTAACATTTTTGTTTAGTTCCACTAAACTATTATTTATTTATTTAAAGACCATCATTATTCACTGCAATTTGTTTGTGAGCAACAATTATTATGTAAACATACTGAATCATAAAATACACTCAGCAGTATACAAAAGTAAAGGAAAATAACAATTAGAGGCAACTAAAATTGCAATAATTTGTCAGGTTTGGAGTGTATGTTTCTGATAAACCAGGTTAGAACTTAACTTTTGGATTGAGAAATAGTAATAAGACTACATAAAAAGTTTTTGACTGTTTATAAAAGTTTGTAACTATTTTATATATCTTACTCATGAGCGATTATAATTTTTCTATTGTTAAGTTATTGGAAACAAGCTCTTCCATGATACTTCCTCCGAGCCTTCTTCCCAAACTAGGTTGGTATCGGCTTTAAGTCTGCTATGATAAGGCTGAAATTAATTTCTTTAACGCTGCACGACTGCCATCACACTTCCACAACCCAAGTACTAGACAATATCGAAGTTCTTTAGAAAGACTGCTGTCGGATGATGGCATCCGGGTGTTACGGTTCGTTATTCGTTCTGAGACTTAGACATACGTTTATAAAGAACAGAATGGTGTTTTTAAATGTAAGAATAACATGTAAGGTAGTTCGACAGATTTACGAGTCAGATCATATTACAAAATCATCGTCATTTCTAATTAACAATAATCTAATTGAAAACAACGTGCCTTTTAATCTTAATTAAGCTAGCACTTAAGCTCTTCGAGACACTGGTGGGTCTCAATATGTTAAGAATGGTCATCCATCCATAGGCTGACCTGGCTAGGATTGCTTAACTTTTCAATGTGTTAATCACTATTGGTACTGTATTTGGTTACCATGATTTTTGTTTTTATTAATTTTTAAGGGTTTTAATGTTAAAAAAAACCGATTACATGGATTTTATTAGAAACTTTCTTCCACTCTAAAACACATTTGATTAATATATGTACATTATTTAATAACACATTTAACGGACTTGCGTCATGCGTATTTTAAGTTACTTTCTCAAATGTGATATTCAAATGAATGTCTTGTGAATGTATTTCACGGAGTGCGCGTTTCATGCGGCACTGACCTTTGTAGTGATGACTATAAAATTGAAGATTCGATTATGAATGTAGATATTTGAATAAAACACTGGAAATAAAATTGTAAATAATCTCGCTATATGTTGTGGGTTAAATACACAAACATCTTCGTTTGACAGGAACGCCACAGGCTTATTAATATCTCGTCCTGCAAAAGAGGTACCTGACACTGGTGAGTTCCGAACGTCCGATTAAATGCAAGATCTCCGATTCTATATATGCTCTGGCGTAGGCGTAACAGACTGGACTACTTGTTATTATGGAAGTCTAAGACTGGTAATCTTGGTTCCGAAGAGAGCCTAGCTGCCGTGCACTAAACTGGCCAACTGCTATTCGATGGTTGGGAGTAGTCTACTAGGACACTTTCTTCGTACTTCATACCTCAATTTCTGATTGTAAACTCCCTTAAGACGAAACCGTGTGACTTTAGTAGGTTTCCATTGATACATACCACATCACCGTTAGTCCTTCATTTATTTCACGTCAACTCGCTCTCTTTCTCTCTCGACAGATGGATGGATGGATGAAGAGTTCAGTGTAAGGCAATCGCAACGCCAAATCCGGCCACCGTGATGGCCGAGTTCATGTGAATTAAACTCATACTAGACCCAGGGTGTCTCGTGGTGATGTACAAAACAGAATATTTATAATAAAATATTTTTCCTTTCAGTTAATAGTAGAAGAAGAAAAAGAACAGCACGGTGGTACAGTGGGTCCATGTCTAGAGGCGTTAGTACAGAGGTCGATATGTCTACTAGACGCACTGACGGCTCTAGCCGCGGCAGACCGGCCTCCTGGAGCGCGAGCTCTAGCTCTCACCACTGGAACAGCCTTGTTGAGACGGACGAGGCAGCCGTGTGTGAACAGTGCCCATGTTTACCGGCCTCTGCAGGTAAAGTCTACTTATGCTTAAAACTAAAAACCTTATCGTGTAGCCCAGAATAGAAACAGGAAACTATCCTGTTTCTGTTCTGAGTTACACAACCAGTACTACTAGGGCAGAGTCTTGTTGATAAAGTCGTCATAGGATCGGGGTGGAAGGGATAGAATGAATAATGTGTGAAACATTAGCGGTGTTGGTGCAGAAGTGCTTTTAGGTCCCAGTTTTAGTAACCATCATGTAGATCAGATGAGTTAAGATTTTAAATAGTATGTTTCTAAAGGCGCTAGGATTAGTCGATTTCTGAACAGGCTTAGTAAACAGTTGACATAAAGTAAATTGAATTTTTGTAACAGGAAAAATCAAATTGTATGGAGTTGGAGTATTGGCCTGTACTTTTCATTTACTTTATGAGCGTATGTGTAATTAAATGATTGCGTTATCATTGGAGTGGTTTAGGAAGAGCTTCCAGCGATAACATATACACACAAAGTATTTCTATAACTATCAGAATTTATAAATATAATAACAACAAACCTTACTTTAACAAACGGACAATTTGATGTGCTCAATTTAATGGTACAATAAATATTTACTTTTTGCATGAAATCTTTGTGTGAAAATAGCTCACGCAATATTTTAATGTCTTTCTAGCGAATGCTTATCCAATGCAACGAATCCCCTGCATCACCAACAGAGAAAGAAGAAGTGGAACTATTGCTCACACTTTGTGGTTTAGTTCGGAAAGAACCAGGTTTAGCCAACATCTTTACAACCCCTTTCGTAGAAGATAAGTCTACCTTGCTCAGTATACCGGAAGATATACAAAAACTAATACCTATCCGAAGTAAAGTTCATACACCAAAGAAAAATCCATTATTTGAAGTGGAACTCCCGCCAAATCCTTTAAGAAATGTGTCGATAATTAGGACAGGGAAAGACGACTGTTGTAACGCTACGTCAAGCAGCTCCATTGATGATAATGCCTCCTGCAAGAGTCATAAAACTGTGTATGACGACAACGATAAGTTTCTGCTGATTGATCTGTTGCTGTCGTATTTAAACAGCGCTGTAAGTATATCTCAGATATAACTCAACATTTTTCGGATCAAGATTACCATCACTATTCATCCCATGGCTGTCGTAAGATCCGACTAAGGGCGCTGATTACACAGGACAACAGCACTGCAAAGAGAAGGAAAACTTGAAACAAACATAACAACCCGTCGGGCCAGCTTGGTATAGTAGGCCGAAATCTCCTTTCAAAGGGGAGGCCTAGGTCCGGCAGTGGGCTACTAAAGGCGGTTGATGATTGATGATGATGATTTGTTGGTAGTCATAGTTAAATGGTAGTCCTGCTGTCCTATTGCTCTCTCCTATAGCAGGGCAGCTATTTAGGTGAGTGAACCCGGAGTCTTCGACTCTTCGTCTACTAGTCTTGTTTCAGAACGAGACTTGTGGTATACCTAAATTTAGCTCCCTCTCTTTTTCTACCAAAAAAAACTTATTCCTTTGTCCCATTTAAAAACGATTACATTCTAAAAGAGATGTCAACGTCGGACATTCTGTCAAGGTCCAAGGTCAGGAACCAACCAAAAAAATCTTTTGCAATAGATAAAAGGGCACTAACATGATGATCGGGCCCGATAGAGACACTTCGAAGAAGCGAAAACCCTTTCGCGACAGGGTTAGCTGCGAAACTATGTGCCTTTACTACTGTATAACTTTAATAAACGCTTTATCTTGTTTTTTATTACCATATTAAAAAAGATCTTGGAAAGGTATTCGATGCGAAATGGATTAGAAACATTTACAGTCTTTGGAACCTCAGTATTTGTGACATATTGACTATGAAGGGTATTTTTATCGCCATGCAAGGTTTTTGTATAAAATATTATTTTGTATATTGCACTCTTCCTTTATACAATGTTTTAAGATATAGTCCCTTTTACTGGAATATTTATGAACTTTATTTGCCAGGACAACCAAGTGGTCCTTCGAGCCTGTGAAGGTATAATGATAGTATCATCTCTGCCGGAAGATGACATAGCAAACTTACTAACAAGCTGTAGTCCAGCTTGCGAGACGATAGTTGACAAATTAGCAGCTAAATATAAATGCGTTCCGGCCAACGTTGATCCTAGTGACGTTGACCATTTAAACATAACGTGGGCGTAAGTATTTTATATTCATATCCATACTAATATTATAAATGAGAAAGTGTGTATGTCTGTCTATCTGTCTGTTACTTCTTCACGCTAAAACCGATGAACCGCTTTAGATGAATTTTGTCAGAAAGATGGTTTAAGTCCCGGGAAAGGACATAGGATAGTTTATATCCCAGAAATTTAAGGAGGTAAAAGGGGGGGGGGGGAGGTAGTAGTTTGTATGGGAAATCAATAACCACTAAACCCATTCTGATGATATTAAGTATGGAGATAGTTTGATTCTTGTTAAATTAAATATTCTTTTTACCACGAAAAGCTACTGTATGATATATGTATATTCATGTTTTATTCGTTTTTTTTTCTGAAAATCCGTACGTAATAAACAAATAATACATATTAATGCAAACAATCATTTGCACTGACAATGATCTGTGACAATGCACTACCACGCGCTTTAGATTTATACACTGTCAGTAAAAAAAAAGCATTTTTTTGAAGCTTGTAGTATGGAGGATAGAGGCAAGGGAACCATCTCTGTGTATGAAAATTGTCCGTAAAATAATAGTTTAAAAACACTAAAAAACACGCTTTTTATAGAAAACCAAACTATTTTTTTTTTAATAAATTTGAAAAAAGCGTGGGGTGCTTTTTACTATTGACAACAGGCACCCAACGCTTTTTTTAACTATTTTTTTTTTTTTTTTTTTAAATTAGTGTATTGTCATCGGTCCTCGAAATATCTACAAAGTTTGAACGAATTCTGACCGTTTAAAGTCAGTCAAAATCACGCCCAAAGGACACAAACATACAAACAAACATACAAGTGAAGCTAATATAAAGCGTGTAAAAACCAATAAGGGTGGCGCTGCGGTAGCCTAAGATAAATTTAAAATGGCTTAATAATACTAAGATTGCGCAAAATAGTCAATCCGTTTTACAGACAATAAATAAACGTGTAATAACTTTCAGACAATAAAAGTATTATAATCTTTTAACTCAGCATACTTCACTCCGTCTACAACAGCTATGTTCATATCGTAGTTTTACGTACGCCAGCGACCTCTATTTTCAGTATACAGCTGGACACTATCAACTTTACCCCCATATAAGATGGTTCTCCTTGCCTCTACACTCCATAGTTTGTAGACACGAACTTGAACTTTGATAGTGTTTTTTTATGGTTTTTTAATTAAAGGAAGACTCCATTTAAAAATAAACTTATTTTTTTCATACCAATAGATTAGACAAAGGCAAACTGTCATTATTCCTGTCGTTTAATGGCGATAGGTACTTATTTGTTTGTATGAATTGCAGGTATGTAGCACAGGACTTTGGTGACAAAACTTACAGTAAATTTCATGGATACAGAGAACTCACAAGTTTCTTCTCTTGGTTAGACTATTGTGATACACTAATGAAGGTTAGTAGCACCTTTTATCAAAATCGACGTAGTAATTTAATAGATACGCTGAAACCTATATACGTACACTTATCAAATTGAAGATCCTATTGTAAATATTTTTGTTACGTATGTTAGTATCTAGATATTAATTATACGACTCTGAAAAAAACTAGGTTTTAAAATTATGTATTTATTATATATGTTTAGGCCATAACTCCATACAAAGTCTCCTTTATTAAAAATGTCTGTTAATTTTTTGTCTGCGTTCAATCTAATAGACACTCTTTCTTGTCTCACCGAAGACATAAAATAGTTTTTATCCAAGATTGAATAAATCTAATCTGAAATCCTGTTCTAAACGCCCTGACTAATTCGGGATATTTCTGATGTCTTATTACAAAACGGCTGAGAAAGTATCCAATATAGCATTTGTGTTTTTTATCCGTGTTGACAATATTTATAATTCCACTGTGTTGTTGTGTAGGAATGCCACCCGACGATAGCGGCCCACCTCTCTCGAACATTCCGCCAGAACTTCCTAGAAGGCACCGCTGAGAACGGCATCACGGACGTTCACCACGCCGTGCTCGTCACCGCCATACTCGCCAAGTGCCTCAAAGTTGTTGACTCGCCTGACCTCATTAATGGTACGTACTTACTTGTATTCCTTATTGTAGTCTATTTTTTTGTGTCTAACATCTTATTACTTGCTTTTCTGCAATCTGTTTGAGTGAATAGGGAAAGATGTGTTTAACAAGAAGTCGGCGAAGGGCGCGATGTTTGTTTTCATCAAAGATTTGACAAATGAGCGCGCGTCCTATTCGATTATACTGTTACGTGTTAGGGTTCTGACGACTAAAGAGACTTTATTACCACTACACTTAAAAACGTTCAACGTTTCACGTTTCTATCTTATGCGTATTGATATAAAACTTATGGTTCCGTGCCAACCCTCATTATTATTAAACGATTCCCGGAATTGAATTGAGTTAAAAGAATTTTCTGGAATGTCCGTGATGTTCCGTGACAATACTAATAAGCCCAGGCTATTTGATTTGTACAACGAGCGCGCGCCCATTTGATTTCACTTAAATAGTCCAGTCAACACGTTAAAAAACGTGTTAATTTTTGTTTCCGGACCTAAACATATGACGGGCACGCCGTCATCGCGGCGGTAACACCCGTTGTGGAGGATTGGCTCGAGAGGCGTCACGGGACCCTCTCATACCGACTGAAGCAGGTGATCACTGGGAAAGGATATTTCGGGGATCACCTGTGTCTGATCCGCAAGGAGCCAACGCCTGAGTGCCACCACTGCGGTGGCCAGACTGTGGACACGGCTCTCCACACGCTGGCAGAGTGCCCGGCGTGGGTTGAGCAGAGGCGAGACCTCGTGGCGGCCATCGGAGTGGGAGTTCTTTCGCTCGATAGCCTGATTGCGGCTATCGTGCGGAGCGAGAGTGCGTGGAACTCTGCCGTCTCCTTCTGCGAGCAAGTTATGCTCGCAAAGGAGACGGCGGAGCGGGACCGGGAGAGGTTTATAACTCTCCCGGCCCGCCAGGCCCGGGAATGGGCCAGGTAACGCAGGCGATTCAGGCGCCAGAGGTCGCAGAACGACCTCCGTCCTCCATAAGCGCAGGCCTGGGGGTGACAGGTGAGGCCATCTGTCACCCTAACAGAAGCAGGCCGGGGTGGAAGCGCGCTCGCTTCCAGGGAGCAGAGAGAACATGGGGTTCCCACACGGGGGGGGTCGTCTACTCGTCTGTAGATGGCCCAAGGTATGTCGGGGCACCAGGGACTTCCTTTCTAGGGTATACCTGGTTCCCCGGCAATTAGTACCCGAGACGGCGTGAGGTTTTAGTCGGTTCGAGTCCGACATGCCACCGATACCGGTGGTATCCGAGGGGATATCCGCACTGAAAAAAAAGGGCCTAAAAATATGTGCAATAGCTCATTCTCTTAGTAGTTATTTGTTAGTTATTAGTACTTACTTATTAGTTAAATCAAACAGTGTGCATTAGTAGAATCAGAGGAATTTAGGGATTTAGGTACTTAGGCGTAGGTTACGTACGAGTATTGCTCGGTTCACTACGGTGCCCGCTCGATACACGTACTTGGGTTGTAATTTAGATAGGCTTTCAGTGTTACACGTACGATTGCTGATTGGTGTACCACGGTTGCTCGTCCGCACCCGTACAATGTGAAAAACGAGAATTGAAACAAACTTCAAAGTAAAGTAAAGTATTTATAACGCGCCGTATCTACGGACCGTTATAAATACTTTACTTATATATAGTGAAAGTGAAAGTATAAATACTTTATAGATAGTGATCAAAGATGTTTCACCAATTGTTGAGATATTAAAAAATGGTAAAACCAATTTAGTATATAAGAATGCAACAAGGTGGTATTGTTCGTAGCTTATTTTTTTCAGTTTAATTTATCTAAAAAATTTTTTTTTTTTAATTATTTTATACAATTTATACATTGATCGATATTATTTTATTCATTCTATGTTATAGCACTATAACTTTCTCTAAATTGAAAGACTATTGTAAGTAAATAATATACAAGGTGTTAGGGACATCGTACCGAATACTGAAATAGTGTATTCAGACCATCATTCTGAGTCGAAAATCATTGAAACTTTCTGCCGGAAAATTCATCGTTTGTTTAAATTTTCCATTTTTTTGGTTAAAAATGATAACAAATGATATCACAATGAGTAGACAGAAATTTTTTAGCTCTGAGATATTATTCTAAATGTTAAAATATGTGCTATTAAATTAAATAATACTATCACCAATCTGCGTGCTGTATGCAATAATATACGAGTACACTGTGTTTTTTTCTTTTGACGAATCTGTAACCCACATATTCTGCACTTTATTTCTAGACGATTGGCAAAATATGAACAAAAAATATTCAGTGGTTTAGAAACAGGGCCTCAATTCTGCTATTTTATGTTCACGCAAAAGCCACTGTCATACCACTGACACGCTATTGAGATGCCATCGAGTGGCCATTGGCATCGGTATAAATATCGGTAGTTGAAAATATATTACGTTTTTTGAGGAAATGATTTATTTATTTTTATTATAATAAATTATTAAAAGAATTAAATAAATAAAAATAAATTATTAAAAAAATAAAATTATAAACATTTGTCCTCAGTACTGTTAACACATCTGACATAATTAAGATACTTTAAGGTTTGAAATCTAATGCTAAAGGAATTGATGGCCTGATATTAGATATGATAAGTTTAACAATGTCTCACACGATGGATTTGCTTGCCACTATAGTGAATCAGTCTATTGTGACATCCAAGTTCCATTCATTGTGGAAAACAGCCATTGTAGGGCCAATACCAAAAAGTAACGATGTAAAATCAGTGCGGGACCTCCATCCTATAAACATTTTACTATGCTTTTCCAGAGTTTTAGAAAAAGTCGTGGCCTCACAGTCAACGAAATATCTGGAGGTTAACAACATCTTACCAGACAAACATGTTGTGAGATGTGTGAAATTATTTATTTTTTACCGGCTCACACTGTTGTACATAATTCGAAATTACATAAGTACTGACCTGCGCATACAATTATGTGCCTCGCTTGTGCTATCCAAGTTTCATTGTGTCGGTGTAGTATATGGTCCTAGGCTATTGGTTAAAACGTCTGGTTAAGTGCAAAGAGTGCAGAACGCGTGTGCGCGTTACTGCTATAATATTCCAAGACGAGCCCATGTTACACCATATCTGAACACAGCTGGTATTTTAAAAATGCAGCGGCGGAGGTAGCTTCACTTAGCGAAGCTTTTATTTGGACTTATTAAATATAAAACGCCAGAATATTTTTTTACCAAGCTGGACATGATGGGTGTGGGCAAAAAGCACAATAGCAGAGAAGGGTCTTTACCACTACACATAACTAGACACAGAACTTTAGAGGGGTATTCCGGTATAGTGGAACACAATACTCGAATAACTTGCCTCCGCCATGGCGTAGGCCTTTGAAAGTAAAGGTATTGCTTTTAACCGTACAAAAATGCGCGTAATGTTACTAAAATTATTTAATCTGTATATATTTTGTTCTCTACTGTTATGTCTATCAATTTCCAATTAACTAGTTACTTGATATCTCTACTATATTAACAGGATGTATGTTATGTAATTAATGTATGTAATTATCACATGTATGTTGATAGTAAAACTGTGCACACGTCCGTGAGGTACCTTTGGCTTTCAGCTGATCACTTCTGCTGGTCACTTTTAGGGACCATAGCAAAGGCAAGTTGTGGCCCTTTAGTCACACGCAGTGATAGTTTTTGTTCTTTCGTAATTGTTTGTTTTTTTATTGTTTATGCTATTCTTTAGTTTAGCGAAGTGTTACCTTTCTTTTCTTTTTCTCTTTTATGTTTTATCTCAATTTTTTTTTGTTGTGTGTGTGTTGTGGCCAATAAACGTATTTTTCTTTCTTTTACACTGTTTGATTTAACCAATGGCGCGTGCCTTATTTCAGTGCACCAATAAGTGCACCTTATTTGATTTGACCAATGAGCGCGTCCTATTATATTGCACCAATAAGTAATTACTGATTGATTTCACCAATGAAGGCGTACGGTATATTTATTTCAGTTTGATATAACCAATGAATTTCAATAAAAAAATACAAAAACAAAAACACAACTCTTTAAACTTTTGAATTCTACTGCGATTTAATTTTAACAAAACTCATTTATATATTACTGTTTATTACAGAGTTCTCCAATTGGTTGGTAGGAGATGGCGAAGTCTCAGAGTGGCCGCTATTACACACTCTGATCAACAACTGTCTTACCGAGAACTACGAATTAACATTAGAAACATTGCGGTTTTTTGAGGTACGAACATTTTCGCACTCTAAGAATGATAATGACTCACTCGTGAAGTCCTTAGCTAAACGGAATCCAAATTATGAGTAAGAAAGATGGAGACAGGTTTGTTTGTGTAAGCTGTGATAGTAAAAAGTGTTGTATCTTTAAGAACATTGCCTAAGTAGGTATTTAAATATAATGCAATTAAAAGAAATCGACTTCAATGAGGCTACATCATGATAATAATGTAATAAAGTACGAGTATATTATTCATTCCTTGATTTTCACCGCTTTGGGTGCATTTATTTTTTAAATTTGAATAAAATCAAAACGGAAAGTATACCCTGTTAAATAGAAAATAGGTTTAGGAATCGGGTCATAAAGGACGGAGTTTTGAGGTAATAAACATAAACGAACCTTTGGCGATGTCGGTTAAAAAGTATTTCAGTAATACAGATATGATTTAATGATTGCATCATCATTATCAACAAACTCTAATAGTCCACTGCTAGACACAGGTCTCTCCTTAGAAGGAGGTTTTGGCCTTATGATTGCATAATTAATAATAATCGTCCTTCGGTTGACTTGACTATTTTACTGACATTAAATTTGAAACCTATAAATATATATTACTATTTAAGATACATGATTATATTTTCGTATATTTTATTTGCCATGTACTGTTGTTCAATCTATGAGGTTCAAAAGGTGCCGTCTCGTAGATAACTTAAAACTAGTCTCAGAATTTTGAAATATACAAAAAATGAAGTCGCTATTATCTATACTAATAATTGTTTTACATTTTTTTTAAAGTTCACTACTTTAAACCAAAGTCGCCCGTTTCATCTAAAAATCACGGTCGAAATGTAATATGCCCCTCGAGTACCTACGTTACATTCTCTAAAGCCGTAGCAGGGTCCTAACGCCATGAATGTGTAGTAAGCGGGTGGGGTGTCGTACGCAGAGTATAATCGAGAAGGGCACGGAGCACAGCATCCAGCGCGTGGTGCTGGCGCGCGTGGCGGCGCGCGGCTACTGGGCGCCGCGCGACACGCACGACGACGCCGAGCGCGAGCGGCTCAACGACCTCTCCATCGGCCGGGAGCGCGAGAGGAACAGGTGCGTGCGACCGCCCTTCACCACCGACATACGAGTTTACCTGAAAACCAGCGCGAGCGTAATCAATGTGAAGTCCGAGCATAGGCTGACGCTTAGACCTTTTGCTTTCGGTATTATAGTTTTTCTGTAGGTATATTTCTACAAAATTGCTGCAATGCTGAAATCAATAAACTGGTGTTCCTTTTTATTATATGCTATTATTCACCATACCAAAAAACATCAATAAATTATTGCCTTGAGCGGGCTATTATTCGGCACGTAGGGGCCAGCTCGGCCGGAGTGATACTACAGCTTCATCCTCATCTTAAGCAATAAGTTGGAAGTATGCTTTCTGCAACATTATCATAAGAGATCCACTGCGAAACCTGCGGCCAGAAACACTATCTTTTCTAAAGAGTTACCATGTTGTTGACTATCTAGTGCCCAGCTACTAGATGCATATTCATATTCGTTTTTTATTTCTTAATCATAAGTGATCTGCTAGGTTTCCTAGAATTTATAATATATACTTTAAAGTTTACAAATCGTATGTCCTTCACAAATCTATTTTTCTCTTCTTCTCTTTCTGATCACAGTTTTTGCACGAGTTCATTTAACCTTGTTTCTATTTATGTGTAGAGAAGCAATGAAACAGCTCCAACATGAAGACCACGTGAACGAACAGATCACAGATATCCTGTCGCACGAGGGGCTCGACCCTAAACACCACGACGAGGGCACAGACAACATACACAGAGTTATTAACAGGTTAGTACTTGAGCTCTGTTACAATTGTATCAGCATGGTCTTGAATCAGCTTTTCCAGAACAATTTTAATAATGTTCAGAGACATCACAACGTATCTTAATTTAAACTTAGCACAGCTCAACAATTATATGCATAAATGCTTACAAATATTTTTATTGCGCGGGTATCGGACCAGAATAGTCTCACAATGTATTTGATAGTTGCAATAAGTCGTACGGTGCATTTTTTTTAAATAATTCTGACACAATTGTTATAGCGCAGTAGGTTCGTGTTGTGGTTTATTTATTATCATGGTGTAGTGTGGTATTTTTCTTAGATTTAATGCAGTTTTAGGGATTTAGGTCACAAAATAAGTGATTAGAAACTCCTTGTAAAGACTTTCACAAACCTTACCGTTCGATTGTGATCGCTTCTAAACTACACTTTATTTATAGGACGTCAAGGTCATGTAGTCTATGACCCACGATAGTTGAAATCGATTCTTAAATCCTAGTCTAAAATTGGTGTATAGACCCTTCTTGACATGGAATCAAATATTTGTAGAACCACCATAGCATTTACGCAAACGCCTAAACCAGGGATTTCCAAAGTGGTTGACACCGACCCCTTGGGGTCGAAATCGGTTCTCTAGGGGTCGACATAAACGAAAACTGATTTTGGGAGTCGACGAGGTCTAAAAATCGACCACTATTAATTTACACAAGTTCTTATTTGAAACTTTCAAGATACTGTATTAGTTGTGTTAAATGTATCAGCTTGTTAGGAAGTATCATTGATGTATTTTTCAAAAGCCTAAAAAGTCGATAAGCATGCAGTAATTTGGCTATGGAGGTCTGAGATAGCAGTTCATTCTAGAAAAGGGTCTCTTGACCAAAATAGTTTGGGAATCCCTGGCCTATACGATAAATATTTAGCCAATGTAAACTTGAGACAAGACTTAACTGAGTTATTTAAGCTGCAGTCCATATAAGATAGATCGAAATTCGTTGAAAAAACGATGACTGACAACCTTGGAACCTGCCTTGGAGTATTCATAATTTTAAGTCAAATCCAAACGCTACCGCATAAATATGACAAGCTTATTGCTCTAACAAGATATTAACCCATAACATGTCAATAAAATTACATTAATAACATTGTGTATGATATACAACAGCGCTTATATATAACAGTACAGCTATATATGCTATCAGAGGGCCTAGTGTGAGTTTATTTCACATCGACTCGATCGTCACGGTGACCGCGTTCAGTGTTGCGATTAGCCCACACTGAAATCTTCGCCAATCGCAACACAGAACGCGCTGGTTGTCCAGAGCGAGTTGACGTGATAAAAATCGTGCAGCTCACGTTTGAATGCTTTTTCGTAAATACGCTTTGCCCAGTTAACAATTTTTAACTGAAGCTTAAATTTCTAGGCGGCTAGAGCAACTCAAAGCTTCAATCGAAGATATAATGGCTAAGGAAAATATAGTGATGCCGACAGCAAATAATGATAGCGTCACATTTAGCGATTAATTTCATTATTTTTAAACTAATATTAGTTTGCAACTCATTATCATTCACAAAAAGATTAATAATTTTTAATGAAAATATCAGATTGTCTGGTTTGAGGCCCATAGTCCAAGATACAAAACAAAGGCTCGTTGGCTAAAATAGTTACAACGTACAAGCTAAGCAATAAATTTAATTTATTTTTAAGTAATTTGTGACTGTAGATATTGTATAAGATGTAGAAATTATTAGGGTAGGTATATAAACAATGTAGGTCATTGTTTATATAATAAAATTGAATTTAAATATTTTCATGCATATTGAAAATATTTTTTTTCTTCAGGGATTCAGTGCTAGCTAGCTAACACTTTTTCTGTAGCCATATGCTAAACAAGTTAGAACTTTATTACCGATATGTTTGATTTCACAAAAGAAATTAAAAATATTGCCACAAAAATGAGGAAATCTTAAACTAATTCGGTCTCCCTCAGTACCTCGACAGTTGAAATCTCACACTTGACTAATTGTATTCTACATATCAGTGACACCAAAATTATTAAGACGTCTTCATACTACTACTCTGTATATATTTTTTTGTAAAGAAATGTTCCTGCATTGCTCATAATATGTAAATACTAAATGTATAGGGTAAACGTGATGAAAAATATTTGTTATCAAATCATTAATGGCCATATGTAAGCCTAATTTGTTGCCATAGAAAAAATATGTGTATCCAAAATTTTATATTTTATATAACAAAATCTAACCTTTGTTTTATAGTATAATTGCCAGTGTATTGCTGCATTTATAAACACGCTATTCACATTTTACATAAAAATTGTGTGGAAAAATAAAAAAGTTATTAAAATGATAGTACAACACATTCAAACGAACTTAAAGAGAATTCGAAAATTAAATAAATTGAAATGTAACAAGGTCCGAAAAGTTTTGTACAAATTTAAAAAAAAGACACATTCTTAACTTATTAATTAATATTCCAGTAAAGCTAGTAGTAAAGCTTTTGCCATAAAACAGTGAATCTTCATTTCCACTTTATCATTTAATGAAATGAGACAAACAACACATAGCACTCAATTTTTTTCTGTACAAATACACAACAGTGAACTACAGAATAAATAATCAAACACCAATTACATTATAAACGCTTAGAATCAATTGTTAAATCAATTTTAGTTGTTTAAATATTATTTTAGCCTAAAACGAGACACAATTAAGCACAATGTGGTAGGCTTACCATCCCTGAAATTAAAAAAAAAACCGCTTTAACTTCTCTCAATTTGTGCGAGAATGTGCGTGTATAGATGTACTGATGATGTGTGATTATACATACATACATACTTAAACTAGATGTATTTATTATACAAAGTAAGATAGCATTTCATACATTTAACTCATGTGAATAGCTTGCTTATCTGTTAGCTGGCAGTTTAAATTTGCAATAGCACTGTAAGAACTGTGATGTTTGTATAATTTAGAATAATGATAATATTTGAGATATTAAACGTTTTGAAGTATACTGTGTGTTTCATTGGTTCGATGACTGACTGGTTCCCTCGTTCTTGCAGCTTCCTGTTGCTGCTGCCGCGCGCCATACTCTCCGACCCCATCGGTGCAGACTACGAACATTATATACACGATGCTCATAGACATTATCAGGTAAGTACGTGACGAGCCATCGTGCAGTGGTTTGGCTAGGCTTGGTTAAGCGATATCGACAAATTGTTTTTTGGGGTTACAATAAATTTTTGTTTAAAGTATCGATTAGATCAGGGATTTCCAAAGTGGTCGATATCGACCCCGTAAGTCGAAATCAGTTTCCCAGGGTCGATATAAAGGAAAGCTGATTTTGAGGGTCGACGAAATCGTACAAATCGACCCCTATTAATTAACACAAGTTCTTATTTGAAACTTTCAACATTCTGTAGAAGTTGTGTCACGTGTTCCAACTTGTTATAAGACTGACTAATATGTCTATTTATTTTGTTAAATTTTCAAGTTTACTCACTTTACCAACGGCAAAGTTTATAAATTGGTAAGTATTTTGTATCAATAAAAGTATTTTGGCTATGGGGTCTGTGGTATCAGTCTGAGGTCTGAGGAAAAGGGGTCTCTTGCCCAAAATAGTTTGGAAAACCCTGGATTAGATGATTAAAATCCATGTCTGTTAGCTTTTTTAGGTGCTAAGTACACACAATAGATCTATGTTATTGCCATTTGTAAGATTTTTCAATGAATAGTTGTCATGAAATTAGGTGTATCTAGTGTTATACATATTGGCAAGTACCGTTGATATACTTTTAACATTTTAATGAACCACTCATTGGTGTAGAAATTGGGAATTCGATTAAAAAAATACGTAAAACTTATTATGCAAGGTCCAGAATGTTGTTATCATAGAGAAATCATACGGCCCGTTATCCGATGTTTAATCGAGCCATGATATTATATATAAGTAATTGGAATTATCTATGTTAAGTACATACCTCAACAATAATTATTATTGAACATTAAATATCTTAGGTGAAAGGCAATCAGATCACCACACAAGAACAGATTTCGGACTCAGCAACATAATTTAAATCAATATAAGTAAAATAAAAAAGGGCGCTCAGCGCTAAGTTGCAGTTCGTAATAACATTAAGTGCGGTGTGGGTTGAGTCTGTTATGGGACCTGATCTAAGAGTGTATCATCATATAATAATAATGATATTCTGTTATTTAAGATAAAGAAAGCTGAAATGAGATTTACTAAAAGATACCTACAACTAATAATTGACACCATCGCTGAACTTAAATTTACCTGACTGATTTGCCTGACTAATTGACTGAGGTGGAGTAGGATCTGTACTATTAGTGAAATACAAGACATAATAATTAGAATTAGTACATAATATTTCCTGTTAGTCTCTATACGGTCATCTTCTATTGACTACATAGGAGTTTTCTGCATAAATCTATTTTTATTAAGAAAACTGGTATTATATATAAATTTAGATAACACTGAAACCATTCCAGTACTGGCTAGACGTGACTTCAACGTTCCACTGGCCCACGGAGTACAACTGGGTGGATACCACAGCCAGCTCGACACATAGCTACGACAGCCGACCAGAGGCTGACATACACCTCGACGAAGTTTTCACCTTCAAACCGGACAAAATTGACGACCAGAACCGCTTCACGCAAAAACTTGTACTAAGAAGTAGAGATCTAACTTCTCAAACATCAGAAGAAGAATTCGACGAAGGTCCTTTCTTCAAAATGATTTTCAAACTTTTATCAAACATGCCATCACAACCATACCAAGTGAATTTGCACCTTACGTCTATAATATCAAAGTTGGCATTACTCCCTCATCCGAATTTACATGAATATTTACTTAACCCAATGTTGCCAACGGCGAAGAAGACTCCAACTCTATTTAAGACATTGCAAGACTTGGCAAGGAGGTTGACCATAGAAATTCCGAGGTTAAGAAACTACAGTAAAATTATTGAAAATACCAGGTTGCAGCTCATGAGTGAGGATCCCAGTTACGATGAAGGGTAAGAAAAGAATGAAATTATTTGTATATTTTAAGGAACAACAGATTTTTAAAGTGAAAACTTCTTTAGGCGCTCTATGAATATCACTTAGTTTTTATCAGCCATTGCTTTTCCCCTTTTAAAACTTTAAAAATCTGTTCAATTTGACCTAATCAGAGACACGAAAACCTTTGGCCTTGAAACAGGAAATGAAAAAATAAATACGAGAACATGAGAGATGGGTTAATTTTGTTTACAAATAACACGGAGTTTTGTGTAGGTAATTCATGCATACTTAGTAACAACGTCATCATATATCCACAGCCTTTAGTAGTCCACTGCTGGACATAGGCCGCAAAGGAGGTTTTGGCCTACTATACCACACATGTATAGGGTTTCAAGTCTTCATTTTTGGTCGGCTCTTACGACACCCGCGGAATGAATAGGGGTGGTAACACTCCGTATTCTTAATCCGTCACCACACGGATTTTACAATTACTTGGTAACAGCGATATATAACATACTTTGAAAAAAAAACATGTACTAAATACTTTAATATTGTTTCAGCGGCGAGCACAACCAACTAGTAGAAAGTCTTATTGTATTAGAAGAGTTCTGTAAAGAGTTAGCGGCCATCGCGTTCGTGAAATACCAACATTCGATGCACATGCACAGGTAATCGCACTTTTATCGATATTATTTCTTAGAAGAAAAGTGTAAGAAAGTGTGGTTCAAATTGTGCAGTACTTGCACAAAGGCTAAGCTGTGTGACTTTCTTCGTTAAAAGACATCTGTTTCCATCGATTCTGTTTTGGTAGATATTTAACTTTTTCGATCGATATTTATCTCCGGTCCGTATTTATCTGTTTCACACAATACTTATCCATTTCACTGGATACTTATCTATTTCACTCGATATTTATCAGCTTCACTCGATATTTAACTGTTTAGGTCGATATATATCTCTTACGGTAGATTTATTGCAGTCGATATTATATATACATAGATGTACATCAGTCTCGGCACTATTATTCAATTTGTTACGGTCGATATGACAATATAAAAAGTAAGGCCAATGTCTGATACTGACCTGTATTTACTTTATTAAAATATTTTTATTGACATCTGTATAAAATAATGTATTTAATAGTTATGTTGTATTTTTAAATATCTAAATGAGTTATTGACACAACTCGCAGCCAATTAAAGCTCTCTCAAATATTTTAAATGTATTTGTTTATAAAATTTGTTACTTCTTGAAAATATTTGGACTGCACTTTCAATTGTTACAACACACATAGTCGTGTATAGAATGTTAATGCTAAAGTATTATTTAAATTATAACTCGTGTAGTCATAGTACAAATAATAAGAATTTTGCATTTCCTTCACTAGATATCCTATTGTTTTTAGTTATTAATAATTTATGAATTCACATTTTTTATTTCTTAAAAATGTTACTATTTTGTTATACTCGTAATAATACAATGAGATTTATTTATATTTTAAATGTGTGTTGGATTGGCGTTTGTATAAATTAAAGTTATATATAGAAAAAACCCTAAGAAAGACTGGAATGTGTGCTTAAATTTACATGCAGTTTACACATTTCGAAAATACATAATTCGATGTGTTTTAGGATTTATTTACTAAGAAACTTTTACAGAAAATAGTTATAAAGATGGATTGTAAAAAAATATCTATTAAATACAACAGTACCACAACACAATTCGTTACAGTAGGATTTGAAATCACAAAACAGTCCTTAATGAAAGCCTTAAAGCAAAAATATAACATATTGATAGATTTATTTAATTTGATGTTTTATTCTGAAGTGTAAGCAAATTTTGAAGCATTCTTGAACACGTTTTTAATCGTTTTATTGTTTTGTGATGATTGTGGAAGTCATAATAATATGCTGCTTTAAGCGCAATTTGAATTATTTTTTTTACTCCTGTTGCCTCATACACAAACATACATGGTTGAAAGATACAAACAACTTTCCTAAGCTCAAAATAACAATATAAACAAACTATAAATCTGATATAAAAATTTATACACTTCTTATACATTATATACACTGGCTATTGTTGGCCGAAGGCAAATCTTAGGATAATGAATTAAAATAAGTTAAAAAATATTCATAATTTAAACATTGGTTAATCAGCTTTTTTTTATTTAAATCAATAAGTAAGAAAAAACTGTGTGTCAGCTGCGTCACACGATTGGAGTTTACTCCTTAAGAATGGTTCGACTGCGCACAAGTCTACAAGTTAGGTTAGGTTATTCGATCACTAAATTTTACTCTTCATGTTTTTTTCATACCGGGCGCCTTGTATGAAAATCGATTCTAGTAAACTCAACGAGTAAACTCAAAAAAAATGTTTAGGAAAGTTGTTTGCTTTGACGTGTATAGATCATTTCCGTTACATTACATTTCTGTAAGACCTCGTAAGTTATGTTTACTTAACTCTGAACGGATGTAGCTATTTTAGATAATTTAGTTTATAATAATTTTTAGTCACTATTAACATCATGTTTTAATTGATGAATATTTATTGTTATTATTCCTTTAATGTTATTAATTTATTGCAATCTACTTGATACGAATAACATTCTGCAAATACTAAATCTGATACATTCATTCATAGATATACATAGATTATACGGTTAAACGTTACATATAGATGATGATGATGATGATGATGATACACCGATGATGTACCAATCGTGCAAATCGTTTTTTTCTCGATTGCGTTATAGAACATATTTCTTAACAATCTGTACTAGGATCACATGGTAGATATAAACACACTTATATAAAGTGAAAGGCAGTTATATCCATCAAATGCTCTCTAATTAAAATGAAAGTAATAAATGTGTTTATTATTTAGCTGCTCCACTACTAGTCGGCTTCAAACACTGTATCAATAATCACTTGTGACGTTTTTCTCTACGCGCGATGCTTATTTTATTTAACATAATTGAAATGCAACAAATTTAATTCTAATTTAAATTTTGTTCAGAGCTGCAAATGTCGATAAATTGGCAATATCGAAACTTTAAGATGAAGTGCTAATCGCTAAATTCTAAGTGACTCTAAGTGGTCAAAGTGACTATACCTACTAAGAAACTGACTAGTAGTAGTGTTAGTAGCCTCTAGCCGCACAGAGTAATTGTGTGTTGCCGCAACAATATAGCCCATTATAACACCAGCTACTCTACCAGTGAAAGTCCCATGAAAATCGGTTAACCCGTTCCGGAGATTAACATGAACAAACAGACACTTCAATTTTATTTGATTGTATTGATTGATAAAATTGATGATGATAGTTCAAAATTAACTACGCAAAATAAATTGGCACAAAGCGACTTTCTTGTGGAAGTCATTTTTTGTTGTCATTCACTACAACGTAAACATTCATATCGGAGTGTGGCATCCTGTACTTCGGATTCATTAGGGTGCGGCGTCACACCGCACCGTCAACGCATCGAGTGTCCTTGCACTAATCAGCGCGCGAAGTTGGTTTTCCCGCGTTATCTATTTAGGTATATGTTTCATTAATGTGTTCACTTTTAACACACCAGTCTCAGTAATAAATATACAAGTGTATAATTATGATGGGATCAATATTTATTTTATTTCACTTATTAAAGAAAATGATAAATTACTAGAGATGAAAATATGTAGTATATCTCATCTGCCTACCCTTATCCCAATTGTATTTGGGGTCGACGCAGTAAGTACGATAACATGTAATGTACTTATTTAATATTAAATAGACAAGTAGACCTTAAAGTATGCCACGGACCTTACCTTAACATATTTAATACGAGATAATTCAATAATTGTTATATAATAAATTTATTTTTAATATTAAAAATAACGCTGTATGTTTCTTAAACCAAAAATGTGTATTTTTCAGTTCTCAGTCACACGACAGTAGACAGAAAACAGTGTACCTACAATACTGTTTTCTGCTTACTGTCGTGTAACAGCCAGCGTTCGCCTTGTAACGTCCTATTATTACAGTTTCATTAAGTTCAACCAATATTTTAGGCATTTTTAAGCCATTGTATGTAATCATAAAAAAATAGTGTATTGTCATCAGCTTGTCATAAAAATCTAGTCTACACTTGGTACAGTCCTTTTATTTCAAATATTCTAGTTTGAAACTCGCTGCAATATAATTTATAATATTTGTAACATTCCTTAGGAAATCCAGTCGATATAAACTATAAGTTTGTATATAAACGCCTGAATTGCTGTTGAAATAAAGACATTAAAAAAAGGTTTGTTTTATTTACTTGGGCCGGTACTAGTATTGTATACAAATCTTGCACTACTAGTGGTTCCCTCGTCCGCCTAACCCTGCGATATAAACATCTATTGTATTTTGTATTAAATAAAAAGTGGGTTTAAATTAAAGAATTATTTTTCGCTACTGCAATACTGATTACTTTGAATTTTATCTTTAATATTAAGGTTTCTGGGGTATCATGGCGCAAAAAACCGCCAGAAGAAAAGATCAGGGATAAAATAAAAACAAATATCAAAATGTAATGGTGATTATATTTTTCTCAAATATTAAATAATAATGCGTAATAAACATTGTAATCATCAAACTAAAGTTGTTAAAATTATGTACAACTTTGAATTATAACCAATAATCGTTTGGAGGAAAACAGTTTTATATAAAAATACATCATCACAAATAGAAACTAGCATTAAATAACAGCCGGGTAGTAAGTTTTAAACAGTCCTTTTATTATTTATAAGAACTATTTAAAACCTACTGGTGACCACCGGGAATACCTATAAGATGAAATTACACAGAATAGAAAATTATGTAAAAATAATAAATTTAAGGATATAAGAGAAAAAAAATATTATTATTAGTTGTAATATAAAAAATGTTATAAAAAAAGATAATAAAAAACCAACTGTCTTCCAACAAACGATTACAAGACATTTTAACACTCACATTCACTCGCTCACATTTAACGTACTTACATAAACACATACATGTAACATATTTATTTTTTCCATTAAGTATTCTACTTGATCGTTACAAGATTTTTTTTTCATTATTTAATCTAAATTGTTTACTTGTACAAATAATTGGGAATAAGTTAAAAGATTGTACTATGGTTTAATACGCCTAATGTGATAATGGCAAATATATGTATTTTTCGTTTCTGTCTGACCAGGAATAAAAAGACTATGTATTGACGGTATGTATAAGATTCCATATTCAAATTCTACATTTGAATGTGCTTGTTCGGCTTACACTTTGACTGTTGAATTTATTCGATTTATTGTCTATGGATCTTATACACAACGTCAAGACTATTTAGTCAATCGATATATTTGAAATCATCGCATAAAATACTTGGCGTTATCATTTAGTAGCGCTTATTTTTATTTATTATCAACGCTCAAGTAATGTGTGTCATTTATTGAAACATTGAGAGTATAGTGTCATATTGTAACACAAATAAAATAAATGTTTCGAATGTTTTGAATTAGAAACATTTCTATGTTTACAAATATTATCTATATACGTAAAGTGTGTTTGAAATGGGATCTGCAAAATGGTTTTGACCAATGTTTATATTGTTGCTTATTAGGTGTTTGGTCTGGACTTTCGTCATTTTTATGCTCGGTGGAATTACATGTTATGTTTTTCAGGAAATTTGCAAAATGACTAAACAAATAGAAGCAATAGGACAGTTACAGATAGTCATAGCTTATAAATGTCCAATCATTTCAAATTTGATTCTTCAAGCAACAGATGCACAATTGTGTCATTACAATGTATAAATTGGGAAATATGAACATTACATACAATATTATCTAAGAACGTCAATATATTAACATAGTACAGGTATATATATTTTTATATTTACAACACAAAATAATTGCCTTTTTAAAAGAGTAGACGAAAAGAATTAAAAGAGCGTGCTTTACATTCATTGCATTTGATTTGTAACACCTGAAGGTCAACTCTAGCACTGAGCGCTCATTGGTCAACTCAAATAGCGCGTTTAAACACGCGCTACACACTTCCGTCCCAGGTGCGCGGGCAGCGAGATGTTACAAATCAAGAACAGTGTGTGTACGATTACAATTGAGATACACGGTAAGTATAAGAACTTTTTGAATCTCCAATGTAATTAACTAAACGGAATGTGTAACATTATAACAATATCTCTGGTACAAAAATAATTGTCCTTCCTGAGCACCTCTTAGGTATGATTTCAGATGTGTTAAAAATAGGTTTGAATGTAAAAGTTTAACGTCAGGATACTTAATTGTGAATGTATAAAATAAATAATTTAACAAGAGTTGGTAATAAAACTAAGGATTTTTAAAGTAAACGATTTGACAATGGATGAACTCAAATAATATTTGTCAACTGTCAATGAAAAGTTTAGTGTGAATCGTTTCGACTAAACTTTTCGAATTTATAAAACCATCGGTAAATTGGCGCACGTATTGTAGGTAAGCAACATAGGTCATCTTGATCTTAGTAAAATTAAAAACAAAGAGCAGAGACATGGATTACTGTTTTTTTTTAAACGTTATTATGAACTGGCCATAGAAAGACAACTTCGTTAAACGATATTGTGAAGTGGCGATGGAAAGACAACTACGTCTTCAAGAAAATCATTTACATAGTTCTATTGGACTAGTGCGGTCAGCAAGTTTTATCGGACCAATACATGAATAGATAATATTTTTGTATGTTGTATTAGTGCGTGCGCTACAACCTCAGAGCTAAGAAAGGGTTTCTAACCCTTTTACTTTGAATGGGTAGATTTAACTAAGACATAAACAAACATAAGTACAGCATAAGAAGTTGACTATTGTCGAAGTAAACATTAAGAGATAACAAAACCTCAAAGCTTTCCACAGCAGTGTCGCAGGCAGCATCAAACACTTAAAATATGCATTCTAATATTTGCTGTAAAATTTGTATTAATTTAAAAAAAAATTGACACTATTTCACTCAACAAAGAGTTCCAATTTTTCTCAAACTATTTTCTCAATTGTATGAAATTGCATATATATTTTATTTCTTTCCTCTCTTTAACCGGTTTATGAATCCGTAACACATCTGTACAAAATAATTATAACTTGAAATTAAAACTACGAGCACAGCTCAAATTTCCCTAAAGAACGATAAATCACATAAAAGTATACAAAAATAAACATCGTAGCCGTGAATTGGAGGCAATGTCGTTCACAGAATAGCTTATACTTTGATCTACGTGTGATATGATATAACTTAAACTCGTTTCACTTTACGTACTTCCACACAGCTATCCGAATTTTTGTAGTTAACAATGACATAATAATATATAGATGGTGATCACATTACTATTTTAAACTTTTGTCGGGCCTAGTGGTCCTGACTGCCAAGCCAGACTCCCAGGACCAGTATTGTATGTTAAACACTTTGTTTAGTTTATCTATAATATGTATGTATTTAGCAATATCCAGTATTCTGGTTATCATAGCACTGGCTCTGCCTAGGGATTAAAGATATGAAATGTATAAAAAAATCGGCACATATACAATTGGTGAGCAGTTACTGCAGCTTGCATCAGCGGCTTACTCAACAGGTAGGTGTTTTGAGAGGTCAGATGTCTGTACGAAGAAGGCTGCTAGTGATTGAAATTGGAACTGCCTGGTTGCGAATCAACTACCTCCACCCCCTCCACAGAAGTGGGTGTAGTGTATGAAATGACCGATATGTTGATAAAATACGCAATTGTCTACTCATTTGCCGTCAGACAGGCCTTAAACATAATCAAGAAGACTAAAACTTGTCTCAAATAACTATGAATATTAAACAAAATGCTAGTTATAATAATACTAGCTGAACCGGCAAACGTTGTATTGCAAAAAAAAAAAAAATTAGGGATGGGTCACCCATTTAGGGGTATGAAAAATAGATGTTGGCCGATTCTCAGACCTACCCGATGTGCACACAAAATTTCATGAGAATCGGTCAAGCCGTTTCGGAGGAGTACGGGAACGAACATTGTGACACGAGAATTTTATATATAAGATTTTTTTCGGATATCTGACACACAACGCCATCTAGGTTCAAACTAAGCAGAGCTTGTACTATGAAAGCTAGGATTTACTGATAGAATACTTATATACTTTTTTTGCTAATACTAACATATTATACATAGAAAACACCTCAACTCCTTAAATAATAATAAATAATCCTTTAAAGAGTACGTCGAAAAAGAAAATGTTTTATTAAATTCAGTTGTATTGTGTCTCAGTTAGAACATATCACACGTAGAGTCCACCTCGAGTGTATTCACTAAGTTTTACAATAATCTACATTATACATATACATACAATTGTGTTTACATATCTACGGTATCAGCTTCGTGTGGAACTTATCACCATTTTCAATATTCATCTGTGAAAAAAAAACAATATTAATCGATATACCACCACCCCTGTGTCGTAAGAGCAGACTAAGGGAACAAACTATGCAGGGCAACAGCACTACAGAGAGAAGGAAATTGAAATAAACCCTATACCAACCCGTCTGGCCAGCGTGGTATAGTAGGCCAAAACCTCCATTCTAAGGAGATCCAGCAGTGGATTACTAAAGACTGTTGATGTGATGTGATGATGTGATACCAGAGATATGAAGCAGATAGATATTTATCGCATTCTATGGATGATATTTTAGACTGTATGGTCACATGATAACGAGTGGTGATCAATACTTTTCGAGTTGGTTTATCTAGTTACAAATCCATTTTAATTATTTTTTAATAAACAGGTTTTAATATAACTGAAAAGCATTCCTATCTGTGAGTGGTTACATATGTAAATGTTGGGTAAACAAAAAGATGTTATTAAGTTATGGTTTTGTTTAGAAGTGGATCTTATAATATGCGAACGGCTCGGCCCGTAAAGCGTAACAAACAAACTCACTTTCACATGTTTTATATAAGTATAGAAATATCGAAAGTATTCCGTGTGGTGATGGATTAAGAATACAGAGTGTCACCACCCCTATTCATCCCGTGGGTGTCGTAAGAGCCGACTAAGGGAAAAAACTACGCAGAACAACAGCACTGCAGAGAGAAGGAAAACTTGAAACAAACCCTATACCAACCCGTCTGGCCAGCGTGGTATAGTAGGCCAAAACCTCCTTTCTAAGGATAGACTTATGTCCAGCAGTGGACTGTTAAAGGCTGTTGATGAGATCAGTATCGAATATACACTGACTTTTACCACATTAGTGATTTTTATTTTTACGAGTCAGTAGGAGTGAGTAGTTACCTCGCAGTGCAGTCCCTCACCACCAGGAGAAGAAGGGCGACTTGTGCTGGAACCGTTGTTGGAACGAGTCGAAGAAGCGCGACGACGTTGACCCGTTCTTGGACCTGCCGCAGGACAAGATCCGTTTACAAACTATCACCATTTAGTATCAAATACAACAGTATACTGGCCGTTTTAGTATTTAACTTATAGACGAAACTTATTTGACTAGTTAGCCATCTATGGTCTGGTGGTTAGTGAACCTGACTGCTAAGCTGGATGCGTGGGTTCGATTCACACCCAGGACAAATAGTTGTGTGATGAGCACAGTCATTTGTTCTGTGTCTGGGTGTAATTTATCTATAATATTTATTTATTTAAAAATATATAAGTTTGTTTATCAGCAATCTGGTCACCAAAGCACAGACTGCCTAGTTTGGGATCAGACGCCCGTGTGTGAGGTTATTTTATTATTATATTATCAAATTCAAAACAACACTTTCGTATTTGTTCTGCTTAAATTCTTCTAAAAGTATTTAAATTACACATTCTTGATGTTCGGTCTCAATCAAAAATTCCTCCTGTTTTAACATTTTGTAAAAAAATTGTCATAACTTTTGTGTAGCAAGCTTTTGTATGGTCCAACACCTTTTATATTCCTCGAAGTGTCCTCAAAGGTGATGGTGATCCTACCTCTCAACAATGACGGCAGGCATCTGGACCAGCTGTACGGGGCTCTTGTTGTCCTTGAGAGCCTGCGTGAGGTTCAACACCTGGCCCCTCATCACCGACATCTGTCGCTCGAACAGGCCCTTGTCGAAACCTTTATCCTGCTGTAATTGAAATAAACACAATAATAAAAAAACCCCGACACAAAAAAAGAACAGTTCAAAGCCCAAATATGGTATATTTGCTGTAATTTTCTGAGGAGTTGGCTATCCCGCAGGCTACTTGATGCAGCAGCAAGTCATCCGTTCGAGAGCTATGATGCCGCAGACAGACCGACTGATACACAGGTTCAATTTATAACACCCCTTGTTTTCCGTCGGAGGTTAAAAAAACGTTCACATTGTATGGAAATTGCGTTCTCGCTCAGATTGCCAACTATTTTCCATTTTTATAAGTCATGTAACTTAGAACTTGTTTAGTCCACATTTTTGTACTTATTATTTGTAGTAGCTGTTAAAGTATGTTTATATAATCTGTGCAATTTAAATTTCGCGCCTTCCAACTATGGACTAATCTATATAGTCTGTGTTACTTCTCGACTCTGTGGAACAGTAACGTTAAAAAAAAACACAAACAGTGTTTATATCCTCCAAACCTTTTTACTGCAACAGTAGCTATATAAACCTGGTCTTTTGGTCTAGGAGTTAGTTAGATACTGACTGCCGAGGAGGTCATGACATACAATTGATGAATATTAATATTTATTGTGTCTATCTATCTTATAGATGTATGTATTTATAAATATATAAGTACGTTTAACAGCAGTCTGGTTATCATAGCTAGCCGAGCGTTGCTAGATTTTCGATAAGTATAATTATATTATATTTATTTTGCTAAATATTTCACAACACAGAGATTATTACCACTGTGTGTGTTGATCTATGACTATAGAAGCTACAAAAAAGCCGATTTTAAACATTTTTTTTAAATGAAATGAATTAGATTAGATTTTGAGTTTTAGTTGTTGTCAATCTACTTTATTATGTGTTTTGTCTCCACTGGTGAAGAAATATATATAAAACGCTTCACTATTGTGAAACATTTGTTGGCAGATTTATTTGAAGAGTAAGTTTCCCAGTAACAACATGGTAAAAACTATTTTACTTACTTTGAAAAGCACATGCAGATCGTCACATAACTCTTGTACAAAGTTCATGTCTGATAACAATGGAAGAACTAGCTCCCTGTGAACAAACAAATCAACATTAATTAAATATAAACATGTAATCTCTGTGTAAATATCAAATTGCCGAGACTACAGAAACCCTAAGAGAAGTCGTGTAGTTATGATGGTAGCCAGATCTAGTGGTATTGGTTGTCAGGCCTGGGGTGGTAGGTGAGGCCATCTGTCACCCTAGCAGAAGCAGGCGGGGGTGGTGGCGAGACGCGCCCTTTCGAAGCACAAAGGGAAAATGGGGGTTTCCACACAGGAGGGGGTCATTTACACGACGTAAATGGGTACGCCGGGGTAACAGGAATTCCATTCAAGGGTACAGCTGGTTCCCCGGCTACAGGTACCCGAGACGGCATGCAGTTTTTGGTCGGTTCGAGGCTGACATAACTATCCCACCGGTGGGTGGTGTCCGAGAGGATTTCCGCACGAAAAAAAAAAATGGTTTAGGTAGTCCAATTGGTAAGTTACGACATAATTGGTTTCTTGCTTGGCCCTTAGCAGCCCGGCCCAGCGGTAGGGGTGGTGAGAACAGTCATAAACTCAAACTTAGTCTCTTGCGAAAAGAGTAGCTTGGCCTGTGGCAGCAGGCTCAGTGGTAGCGGTAGTACAATTGGTAAATAAAGTTATGACATACTTGGTCTCTTGCGAGAAGGGTAGCTTGGCCTGTGGCAGCCAGGCCCAGTGGTAGGGGTAGGCGCGCCACGAGTCAGGATGCTTGAACGGGAAAGCCAAACCGTTGTCGATGGCTGCGATACGTATCTCCGCACCCGTCCACTCCTGGAACAATAACTATATTTATGGGGACCTGAAAACACATGGCCTGAGTCTTCCCTAGAGTATGGGGGTGGTTTTTAGTGGTAACACCACATACTCCTGGCTCATATATCCCCAAGGAGTCAGAAATCCGAAGGGATTTTCCACCCCATCATCAAAAAAACCCATATCTATTCAGCGGTTGTAGATCGGCACAGGTATATCATAGATTCTTTATGATGATTTATGAATTTGACAAAACAGTTTTTTTCTTTTGTGTGTGTTGATCTATGACTTTAGAGTCTACATAAAAGACGATTTCAAACATTTTAAAAAACATAATGAAATAAAGAGAGTTTGAGTTATTTTGGATGATACCTCATATAAGGTGAGTCGAGCGTTCTCAGTTCCAGGAATTCCCTGAAGTGAGGAAATTTATAAATATTAAATGATCCCCTTATTTCACCCTCGTTTATTTATCTATACTAATATTATAAAGCTGAAGAGTTTGTTTGTTTGTTTGAATGCGCTAATCTCAGGAACTACTGGTCCGATTTGAAAAATTCTTTCAGTGTTAGATAGCCCATTTATCGAGGAAGGCTATAGGCTATATATCATCACGCTAAGACCAATAGGAGCGGAGCACCAATGAAGAATGTTTCAAAAACGGAGAAAATTTATTACTATTGAGAGACGCAGACGAAGTTGCGCGGGTCAGCTAGTAATATATATAAAAAGGAACATACGGAGGGATCCCTGAGGTCGATTTCAGCTCGCGGCGGCTGCTGCGCGTTGGGCGGCTCGTACTTGATGAGCCAGTTGTCGTTGCCGCGGTCCGTGTTGCGCGTGATGTAGTCCAGAACCACCAGCCGCTCGAACTGCAGCTGGAATCTGACGACGATACCCGCCCACTTTACATATTTGTTGTTTTCAATATTAAGGACATACATAGTTTTACTTTCATGTGGGTATAACTTCTAGTTCTGTGTGATTCAAAGGGGGTTTTCATGGTGGGTTTCCAGGTCCTTCCATGGCAATCTTTTCTAAGAAATTTAGTCCCTCGAAGGTAGTGAGACCTACGGTTATTGCCGTCCGATATTTCTCCAGCCCTACTCTTTTCTCATCCGGACTTGGGACCGTTAACCGACAGAGTCCGAAAGATAATATGTAAATTTAACAACCCTCAGCAATTAAGAGAGAAAAAAGGAGGAGGTGTCAATAGATGCTTTTTATGACTCCATTTAAATAATGGCGCCAAAACACTAAGTCACGTGACGTGTCCAATGTGTGACGCCTTATCATTATCGACAAAATAATAATCGTATGTCCATTGATATTAAATCAAATGAACAAGAATTTCGGACTGACACTTCACTACTTATCAACATAATATTATGACGTCACGCGCGCCATGATACGAAATTACGCTTTATCAAAGGTTGATTTTAAATTAATTACTAATTTTGTCCAAAATCTATTTCTTTATTAATCAACTTAATGATTGCATCAAAACTCAATATTGTCTTCTCAGAACTTGTAGCATGATTATATTATTGTAAGCATCTAGTTCATGATATAAATAAGACATTTAGGTTATATTATGGTATGTTGTTTAAATGAAGAAGAACTTACTTCTTCATGACATGTGCCGGCGGTGGATCTTGTTCGAACCGTCGCAGCCAGTAGTCAGCATCTTTATAACCTTCCACAAACAACTGGAAGGAACCCATCTGGAACACGGACAATTTTAATCATTTTAAAATTAATGATGCAAACACAGAGAGTCGGAAGAGAGGGGATGTTTACTGTGAGATTACGTTAATTTGTAGATGTTGCATTTCATTTAACGATGATTGATGACAATTGGTAAGATAACGTGATTAGACTTTGCACTACTAGGAGACACGTAGTCTTTTATTTAAGTTTATTTTGTTAGTTGACAATACTTAGTAAACTGTGTTGTGTGTTATGAAGATAAAAGTAAAATTTGGGCAAAATTGGATAAAAATAGGGAAACTGATATAGGGAATATGAACCTGTTTACCATCCAACTAAGGGTCTGTTGTCAACTAGCCAAGAATTAAGAGAGAAGTAATAATTACCTTGGGTGGCAGCCCCATCCTGTTGAACCTCAAGTTAGGGAACTGCTCCGTGATGGCACGCTTCAGTCGCGACCGCTCACGGTCTATCCGCATGTAGTTAAACGTCTCCGATACTAACTTGACTACCTGCAACCAAAACAATCATTCTTTAGTGAAATCAGAAGGTCACTTGAATTTTCTCGACACTATTATCCTGCTTTAAGGATATCAAATGGGACTAATAATTATTTTATGCTATTGTTGGTAAATTATTATTATTGTTGAATGCCATTGAAAACAGAAGAAGCAAAATGGTTGGCCACCTGATAAGACACGACAACTTCTTCAGAATAATACTGAAAGGAAAAATAGAAGGCAAAAGAAAACGAGGACGGCCTAGGTATACATACATACAGCAAGTGAAGGAGAAAGTGGGAGTCGTGACCAATCAGGAGGTCAAACAGATAGCAAGAAATTGAGAGGAGTGGCGATTGCTCCACTGACAACGGCTTGGCTCTTAAATTAAGAGAGAGATAGTTGGTAAACGAGCAGATGGGTCACCTGATGGTAAGTGACTACCTCCACCCATGGACACCAGCCACGACCAGTCACAAGTGCGTTACGGTCTTTTGAGTCCTCTCTCAAGAATTAGCAACTCTAATTAGCCTCCGGTAACTTTACTCACTCTTTGAAAAGCAACGAAAAAACTGCTTAATTGACTAAAACTGTTTTCTGTGAGCCCTGGTATCACTCCGGTCGAGCCTGGGCCATATGCGCCGAAGCATGGCCCCATGGTCAAAAGATCTAGCAGAAAGTTCTAAGTATGGTCAAGCGCTTGTGATTCCTGAGCTGCAGGCGTCAATGGGCGGCGATGGTCGCTTTCCATCAGGTGACCCGTCTGTTCGTTTGCCCCCTCTTCCATGAAAAAAAGGTAGTTTTCGAGACGTCGTTTTTTTTTACCTATTATTTAAGCTATTTACCTACAGCATGTTCGAATATATTTTGTTCCTAAATGGTTATTAACCTATAGTTTTAATGGAAAAAAATGAAAACAGACAGCCCTTGCCGTTAAAAGGTATAATTGTTACAAGGAACGTTACAGCACCAAAAAAAACTACACATTTAGGGTCCGGTTTTTTGTTTTAGAAACCGAGGTTTGTTGGCAACATAAGAAATGCAGAGATTTATAGTTCTTTGTTCCTAGATACACGTCAGGGATATTTTTGTGAATAATTGGTTATTGAAAAGTTATTCATGCGTGCAACTGTTTTTGCAACGGATTAAACCCTAATATTATTACAGTATAGCTGTTTTTATTCTGTTTGTAATAAATATTTGCTGTTTGTATAGAACTTCGTGTGTAACTTTACTGTACTGCGTGTGCAAAGTGTACTTCTTGCAAATTATAATTTTGAACTCGATTAACTTTATTAGACATTCAAATTCCATTATTGTTCATAATATTTTTTACAAATCGAAATCATCAATTTGCTTTTTTAATGTTATTTAAAATTATCGATCAAGGCAAAAAAAGGTTACTTAGTATAATGTAAAATTATTTACAAAAAATAGTGGAAACCATATATATTGTGTATGCATTTGTCAATAAGTAACAGCTTGCGATCAAATTGTTGGGCCTTGTGACAAAAAAAAATCGAGCAAACACATTTACCCTCCTACTTCATCAACTCTTCCTTCCTGCCGAAATCAGGATGTCCACAAACCGCATTCAAGAGAAAATAGTGAATTGGCAGAACAGTCACAACGCTAGTACCCGACTGAGTATTTATATATTTTATTAAATTGATGTAGGTTTATGTATGAATGTGTGTTTATATATTGTGTATGTCTCTGGACTTCAATTATGGTAAATTTAATATTTTATTTTGCACCTACCGCATTAAGTCCGCCTTTGTACAACATGTGCATTAAGTCTTAAATAAAGAAATAAAAATACAAAACTTTAGAGTTTCCTTTTGTGAAGTTTTGTCACATATTTACACATGTTAAGATTCTATTAGCATAATATTTTGATAGAAGTTTACACACACCTTTAACGAAAATCTGACAACTTATATTCAACTCCTCTTTGCTCTTCAATACTTCTATTATTTATCGTTTCATTGACGGTTGCAATAGTTGGGTATAAACGTCATCTTAATTAAATTGTGGTATCACCTAAAGCGCCATAATGGCATATAGTTAGGAAGCCACGGCGCGGCTAACGAGATTTTGATGAATTGACAACAGTTGTAATATGTCCAAGTAAGAATTCTTTTGCTACAACATATTACAAAACAATAGTTACAGTAGTAACATAGTTATTGATCATTTGATATTAAAATAAACATTTCTGTGATAATTGCATAACAAATTAACATTATAAAGATCCCTGCCGAAATCAGGATGTCAACAAATCGCCTTGCATTCAAGAGAAAAGTGCGTGATCTACTTCGGGGTGAATTGCCGGAACAGTTACAGCTCTAGTACCTGACTGAATATTTATATATTTTATTAAATTTATGTAGGTTTAGGTATGCATGTGTGTTTTTATATTGTGTATGTTTCTGGACCTATGTTATGTTAAATTTCATATTTTATTTTGCACCTACCGCATCATATTTCTACATCACCTGAAGGTTGACTGGGAGAGAATGCTTAATGGCATTAAGTTTAAAATAAATAAATAAATATAAAGAACTATTGGAGATCAAACAAAGTAATGATCGTTCATTTTGTTTTCTGACTGTTCTATACTGGGACAGCAGGGTAAGAAAGAAGTGTTATACGTTAGTCACAGCAATGTGTCAAAACGACGCGTTAAATCGGCAATAATTAATGAGATTACTGTATATTTCTATTTAATCTAACACATCATTTTGTCTGTAATCCTTTTTTTACAAACAAATCTGTATCCTTTATTAAACTCGATTTGCTTGATTTATTGGTGATATCATCCTAGTAGCAGAGATGCTACTGCAGTTGAGCAAGATGCTACACAGCCTCTATAGAGCAGCTAGACGCGTAGGTTTTGGTATGCACTAGGATAAAACTTAGGTACAATAAACCTGTCGCACCCAGACCGAATTAATCGAATGGCCGACTTTTGAAGTTGTTCAGAAATACGTCTAACTTGGGCGGGTTAATAAGCTGGGCAGAAACAAAAACAAGAAAAAAAACACCAGTTACGATGCGCAATATTTAAAACAAAAATAACAGTAAAAACAGGTGTTTTTAACATTACTAATTTAACGTTACAAAAATGTTATGTTGATTAATTCATTATCGCTACCAAATGGTATCGTTATGGCAGATGTCTTAATAAAATACATGGTGTATAATGATATCAGTTACAGACCAAAGTACCGTTAAAAAATCGTTAAACTTTGGTCAGCTTGTCTGATCGAACCACAACTGTGGTTTAAAAATATGGAGTCAGTCATATGGAAACCATCGTGTATGCGACATACGACCTTTTCATGTAAACTTTACACTTCTGTACACAAACTAGACAGAGCCTTTGACTGCACGGATGGCATAGTAGTTGAAGTGGATGCGCTGAGTGTTGTGGGTCCGATCCCCACATGGCATAACACTTTGTGTGATCCACAAATTGTTGTTCTGAGTCTGGGTGTTCTTTGTGTCCGTTTCATGTATGTTTGTCAAGTCCCCCGCGACACAGGATTATATACATACATAGAGCAAGTGAAGCACTAGGATAGTGCGGGAGTTGTCTTTAAAAATAAAATAAAAAAAGAGACCGTACTAAAGTAACCAAACTGCTATTGAAGCCGATAAGGTGTAATATCGTAAAATTTAATTTCTTTCACTACACGGAGGCTTCAACACAAACAAATATGATTTAATTCAAAAGTATGCATGTTATTGTATGTATGTATATTAATTAAAGTAACTAGTGCATAAAGGTTTAATTTTTGTTTTTTAATGCAGATGCATGCCATCCTATTACATGTAATGGAAACACACGTTAACAATTTACGGCTTTACAATAATCCAACATCTTAATATCTAAATCCAACGTCAGTTAAAAAACAATTCGGATTGAAGTAGCATTCAGTAATTATGAATCAGGTTTTTTTTAAATATCTTCGATCTCAAGGTGCCAGAAAGGTTGAGCAACTATGTAATTGTTAGGAAAGAACTTGTTAATTGCATCCATCTAAATTTAAATTAAATCTAGCTGTTGCTAAAGATTGCGCTAGAGCAATGTGATGTTGTCCAGATGTCTTAATAAAAGCTGTTTCCGGATCCTTTTTATTCTAAGCACAATATGTCACACCGTGTCACTGTGGAATATGGTAGAACAAGGGCATATCAAAATTGATTTTTATCACTGATTGAAATTGGGCACTTTATGAATGTAATTTAAAAGTTCAGAAGTCGAGGTTTAATATTCTGCAGCGTAACTCCTATTGTATTTGGTATAAAAAAATTTTTCATGTAGTAAAGTTAAACGTTTAAGCGATTGGGAAATATTTAGTTGTTTATTTACGTTTTTCAACGTGAAATAGTTTTAAAACTTGAAATGAAAATTATAAGGTAATATATATTTTTATAAAGCTCATCTATCAGAGGAAATAAATAAATACAATTGATTGTTTTTAATACGAATATATAATTAAAAACCAATTTAAAGAAAAAATGGGGAAAAAATATTCCTTCCTCAACTTCGTCGAAGCTTTTACCATTTAGAGTTGTTTACCGATGCTTTGAATTTAATGGTAATTCATAGGTTAGTTACTCACCTAAAACATATAAAAAAATTAGCTGCGGTTTTCTGCGGTTTATGAAGATATGGGAAAAAATCGAATACTAATCTGGGAACGGAAATCGCTATCAAATGCGGTTTCGTAGTTTACTTTTATTATCAATAACTTGTGATACGTTTTATGAATTAATTATTTGATATTGTTTAGTTTTTATCATTTCGATGTCATTTTTCGTGACAAAATAGGTATCTGAAATATTCCCACATTCTGAAACAATATAAAAAGGGCAGTGAAAAAATATTTCTCCATTACCGTTTCTACCTACTCTAGTACGGCTGTTTCATTATTCAATATGTCGACTTTTAACTGTACTAAACGTGAGTTAATAGTGTCTTATATAGAAGGCGGAAAAACGAC